GGGCTCCAGGAGTTAGGCTGCAGGCCCTCCCCCAAGTCAGCCCCCCTCCCGACAGACAATAGGGTCAGAGCGCATGTGATCATGGACTGCCAGGCCAGAGACATCCCCCTCCAGAACAAACTCAGTGCCAGGGACCTCGGGTTAGACCTCGCGGCGGGGAAGCGCAGGCACCTCAAGGTTCGTCGGGCTCGGTAGCGTCTCGGGTTCAAGCTGGACAAGAACATTGGGGGGCTCTTGAGGGTCACGCAAGAAGCCCGCAAGCTCCATGGGACATGTGCCCAGCCACAGGTAATAATGGGGGCCCGCAGGCCATGGGGCTGCGCCGGCATAACTCAATCAACGCCAACTTGCAGCAGGATCAGCGCTCGGAGCCAGTAAGCCAGGCAGTTGTCTCACCGCAGGGTTGCATCAGGCGAAGTTGCCGCCTGAATCCCTGGGCCCAGCTATCTCCATGCGCAGCAGGCTCTTTGACGTGTGGTTCGAAGTAATCGGCGCCGAGCCGCAGTTGCGCAAGGGTCCAAGCGGCGCTTGGCCCCGCATCTTCAGGAGGCCCCAAGGGGCGTAGATGGAACCAAGTGCATATCTACCTCGGCGCCGTCATCGGGCCCCCTCTGGACCTCGCGTGGGGCCCTGGATCCGCGTGGGCCTGGAAGGGGCCAGCCGGGGAAATCTTCGATGTGCAACCCGAAAGGTATGAGGCGCAAGACACTTTCATGCGCACAGAGTTGGGGGCAATTCGAGCGGGTGTCGGGCAGGATTCGACAGTCGCAGTTCCGGATGGCAGATCGAGCGTCTCTACCGCGACGGGCGCCAGCACCTTGCGAAGGCGCGCAGGGCCGCGGGAAGTTGCGCAGCTTGGAGCCCCCAACGGCGTTTCGAGAGCGGCCTGCAGGAAGATAGCGATTGCCCGATCTGCGGAGACCACCACTGCGATGACAAACACAAGTTCTGGGGACGCCCACTCCTCTCCCAGGTAGGGCGCCCTCGGATCCAGGAAACCCAGGACTTGATCGACATGGCTCTCGGAGATGATCAGCCAGAGTGTCTGTGGTGACGAGGTATCATGCCCGCTGGGCTTGCCCTGGAAGCCGTGGAAGTGACCGCCCCGCCCTGCAAGAGACAGGGGCTTTCCTGGGCCCCCCCGCGCCCAGCGGCGGTTGGCGGCTAGGCGCGGTGGGGGTTCAGGTGGCCCCAGGTCTAGTGATCCCCGGCTCGGGCGAGTAGGATGGGGCGCAGGGGTGTGGTCTGAAGATTGTTGCCCTCTTGGGGCGTTCCATGGGGAATGTGGTAGGGCTTCAGAATGTACATCGGGCCGAATTAAAATTCCCTGTGGCTGTTCAGAGGGTGATGGACGGGGCCCAATAGGAAGCAACCTTCCAGTCGACGGCTTTGGCAGGAGTATTGGTCAGTCTTGTGTGCTCGAGTAGGCCAGGTCTTCTACTTCAGATCAGTTTTATATATCTACGCCCGCGGAGCGGGCGAAATATGCAGCTTGGGCGGCCCTCGCATATGAGAAGGCCGACGAGCTAGCCAATGAGTCTGCTGCGCGGACCGCCGTCCCCCCCGACTTCCTTCGAAGGGTCGAAGCCTGGGATTTGCTGGCAGAGCAAATCCGAGGAAGGCTCGCAGCAGTGCAGATGTCGTGGTGGACGCGCTACCCACTGCAGCAGGAGGCCGCCGACTCCCAGAGAGAGCGACGGCAGGCCAGATCCGAGGTTGCATTGAATCATCTCCTGGGAAACACCTTCCACTGGCCAACTCTCGAGGGTGAGCTTGTCAGGTCCAGCAGGTGCCAGAAGAAAACGCAAAGATGACGAGCTGCACGCTGGCTGCGCCTAGACTGTGTCAGCCCGAAGCCCCTCCCTGTCCATCAGACAGGCAGTCGTGATTTCAGCCAGCCTGCCCTTCTATCCGCCAACAGACCAGGCGGACATATGGTATCACGGCCAGTGGGAGGTGTGATTAGCTCAGACGGAGGCTCGGATATCCACCCCAGCCACCCGCCACACCTTGTTTTTTTTGTCGGGGGTCCTGTGGTGTCGGAGGCGTGTGTCCTGGAAGGTTCGGGCCTCTCGTAAGTTGAAAGAAGCCTGCCAACCCACTCCCACAAGTCAGAGCGCGGGGAGGAGGCAATTACTAAGCTCGCACAAGAGAAGCTTCCCCCATGCCTCAAAGAGTGGCCTGCTGGGGACCTGTGAGCCCAGGTCGGGTCCCCTTAGTGTGTCGGGATCGTGGGCCGCAGATCTCAGCCGCTCGCGGAGGAGGAGGAGGAGGAGGAGGAGGAGGAGGAGGAGGAGGAGGAGGAGGAGGAGGAGGAGGAGGAGGAGGAGGAGGAGAGGAGGAGAGGGGAGGAGGAGGAGGAGGAGGAGGACGAAAAGGAGGAGGAGGAAAGAGAGGAGGAGGGAGGAGGAGGGGGACGGGGAGGGGGAGGGGGAGGAGGTGGTGGAGGAGGAGGAGGAGGAGGAGGAGGAGGAGGAGGAGGAGGAAGAGCAGGAGGAGGAGTAGGAGGAGGGAGGAGGAGGAGGGGAGGAGGAGGAGGAGAGGAAGAGGAGGAGGGGAAGGAGGAGGGGGAGGAGAATGAGGATGAGGAGGTGGATGGGGGAGGAAGAGGACAGGAAGAAGAGGTGGAGGAGGAGGAGGAGGGGGAGGAGGGCCTCTTGCGCGGCATGTCTGAACTGCGTAGGTGGGTCACCGTGCCGCGGGCGCGGCCCGTCTGTTCGCCGCGCTGGCCGGCTAAGCCGACGCCGCGGTGCCGTTGAGGCCGCGCCAGGCAGCTGGTTGCGGAGCTGGTTTGGGGACGCGGTGAAGGGCGCCTACGGATCTCGGCGGCGAGCAGAGGGGGGGAAGTGAGAAGGAAAAGGCTTTCCCAGAAGGCGGCGGGAATGTTCAGAAGCTTTCGCGCCTCTGAAAAAGTGTGTTGTGGCCACGGGGAAGGATTAGGACACTTCTCAGACGGCTAGGGGTTTTCGAGCTTTCTCTGAGGGCCCGCCCCTTCTCAGTTCCCCCCTGGGCTCGCCGCCGAAGATCGCCGTCGCGGCGCTTTGCATGGTCAGCGGATGCGTGGGGTGACGCGCGACCCTCTTGTTGTCAAGGCGGAGGGGGGAGGACGAGGAGGATGAGGAGGAGGAGAAGGAGGAGGAACAGGAGGAGGAGGGGCAGGAGGAGGACCAGTGTAAACCCAAGGGTCATCAACGATGTTGGAATCAACCCTCCCTCCAAGATCCCTCTTCATAGGCCCCTACAACGGTTCATTTTCTTGAGGGAACTGCCTCGTTGGAAGACAACTGTTTGAAGACCCTGAAGCATGCCAAAACATAGTTTTCGGGATTCCAACGTCACGGTCAACCTGATTGTTGCGTTTTGACGATCTTGAATCATGCCAGAGCGCCATTCCTGGGACTTCAACATCTTGAATTACGTAACGGCTGCACCCGCATAATCCTGACTCTTTCCAGAACTCCATTTCTGGTATGTTGATCATGGGAGCCCGTGAAACTGTTGCAGAGTTTATAAGCGAATGTGCGCGGCGCTAAGGCGAGAACCACATTTTGAGCAGGAGCCGCCCTCAATCAGTGAAACTCTTGCAAATGTTTAGACCAATATGCGCGGCGCTAAGCCGAGAGCCACACTTTGAAAACGACCCACTTCCATCTGGGAAACAACTGCCAATGTTTTAGCTTCAGAGTCATACATGCTGCGGAAGTCTCAGGCGAAACGCCCGGCTCGCCTAAATTTTTGCCTCGGGGTGCTACAGGAGGAGGAGGAGGAGGACGACGAGGAGGAGGAGGAGGAGGAGGAGGAGGAGGAGGAGGAAGGGGAGGAGGAGGAAGAGGAGGAGGGGGAGGAGAAGGAGGCCCTCTTTGGCATCACGCCTCACCGAACTTGAGGCTCGGGACCTTGGAGGGTCCGCGCGTGAGGTGGCTGCCCGTCGCCACATTTCAGACCTCGGAGGTTTGTTGACGCGTTTTGGCGAGCACGTCATGGATTTTGGTGGCCCAGTTCTCGTTGGATGTTTGCAGCTGGAGCTCGCGTCAAATTTCAGACTGGGTCTCGCCATCGTCATGATGGCCCCGTCAGGCCAATCCGAGCCGTGTGGAAGTCGACCAATGGAGAGGAATCATGCTGCCAACTGATTCCCAGATGGCTAACAATGTTTCAAGCCTGTCTTAAACATGTAAAACATATTTAAACATGGTTTGAACACTGTTTAAAACATGTTTGAACATGTTGAACACTTCGTTGATGCAATTATTGTACTAGTAGATCGTCCATTGTCATGGCGTCCACAACCCGAGCCACTCCGATCCGAGTCTCACGTCTGCCCGATCGGAATCCTCCTCGACGGGCCCTGGGGCCTACTGGCCTGTCTGCCTGGGCCCGCCCGTCGCCTCTCTCGCGGCCGGGCTTCCTGGTTCCCTGGCAGATTCTAATGGGGGCACCCTCAGCGCTCTGCAGCTAGCGAGGAGGAGGAGGCGGAGGAGGAGGAGGAGGAGGGGGAGGGGAGGAGGAGGAGGAGGAGGAGGGGAGGAGGAGGAGGAGGAGGAGGAGGAGGAGGAGGAGAGGAGGAGGAGGAGGAGGAGGAGGAGGAGGTGGAGGAGGAGGAGGAGAGGAGGAGGAGGAGGAGAGGAGGAGGAGGAGGAGGAGGAGGAGGAGGAGGAGGAGGAGGAGGAGGAGGAGGACGACGACGAGGAGGACGACGAGGAGGACGATGAGGACGAGGAGAACGAGGAGGAGGACGAGGAGGAGGAGGACGAGGAGACCTCCTCGGGGCGGATCCCGCGAGAGGCCCGGCCCTGCGGCCGCTGGTGGTCGCCATGGGCACCCGCGGCGACGTGGAGCCGTGCCTGCGCTTCGCGGCCGCGCTGCGGGCCCGCGGCCACGCGCCGCTGGTGCTGTCGCACTCGGCGTACGAGCGGGAGGCGCCCGCCGTGTTTGTGACGTGTGAGGCCTTCTTAGATTCTAGGCCTCCTAGATGGGGTCGGAGTAGATGGGGTCGGAGGATCGCGCCGCATTGCCGATGCATCGCCGATGCATCGCCGATGCATCGCCGATGCGGCTCGATGTGGAGCCCGATTTACTTCACGCCGACGGTGCCGATGCGTCGCCGACGTCGGCGATGAATCGCCGATGCATCGCCGATGTATCGGCGATGCGGCGTGATCCTCCGACCCCATCTACTCGGACCCCATCTAGGAGGCCTCTATAGTTCAGTACAGTCAAGACGCTGAAATAAGGAACAGTTTGGGTTCGGAAGGGGCTCGATGTTCCTCAGGTTCCTCCCTCTTGCCCTCCTGCTGGGGCACGGAGGCGCTTGAAGGGCCAAGAAGGGGCTACGTTCCTTGTTTCGCGTTCCTTCTTTCAGCGGCCCGACTGTATCGTTTGACCGACCCCCATCCCCATCCTCGTCCCCTTCGAGACCCCCACCAGATGACCGCCCCAGCTGGGGATGCACCCCTCGAACCCCGGAGGGAACAGCCCATATCCGCATCTAGGGGCGTCAATCGGCCAGTGGGGCCCAGGCCACGCCGCTGGGGATGGGGATCGGTTAAACGATACTCATTAGATACAGGAGGGGGAGAATCATACGCAGGCACATGATCGTCGGTTCCCCGTTAAATATAAAACATACGGGAAGTGCATGGGGGGGACGCGCATCCAGGGAATGTGGAAGCATATGGGGGATCCTGGGACTTGCGTCTCTTTATTTGCGTGTGCTTGGAGCCCCTTCGTAGATCCAAGCAGATGGGTCGGTGGGTCGCCCCGCATCGCGGATGCATCACGCCGAGGGCGCCGATGCATCGCCGAGGGGCCCGCTCTTTTTTATATCCTCTTGGAAGTGCGCCCGGGGTGGAGCGAGAGGGGGCGGGTCTTCTCAGAAGGCGGCGGGGTTTCTCAGAAGCCTTCTGGCCTTCTGAGAAGTACCGGCGTCTTCGGGGAAGGCTTAGACATCTCGCAGGCTCAGGCAACTCCCTGAAGAGCCCGAGGCCTTCCAAGCTTCCTGAGAAGTCCCGCCTCTTTTCGCTTCCTCTCCATGCTCGCCGCCGGTTCGCTTGGAGCCGGCTGGGAGTCCCAGGTGGCCCAGCATTGGTTTGGGCCACCGTGAAGTCACCGAGCGTTCCACTACTCGCAAAGTGCCTACTCGCAAGCGCCAGAACCAAAAAACGTCCGCCTCCTATGTAACGCGTCGCAGATCCCCCTGGGCGGATCCAGGCCATCTGCGAGTAGTTACTTTGCGAGTAGTGGACGGGAGGGAAAGGAGGGAGGGAAAGGGGGCAAGGGAAGGAGGGAAAAGGGGAGGGAAAGGAAGGGAAGGGAGGGAAGGAGGGAAGGGCAAGGGGTTCGAGGTGCTGGGTTCGGGGAGGTCTCTCTTGCCTTTTTCGGCCTCTCCGGGTGCTGCTTTCGGGCCCCGGGGCTGTCTCGAAGGCCCATGGCGATATGTCAAGTAGAATTCAGTTGGCATAATTGGCTAGCTCGTCCAGCTTGCTTAACATGTATGTTTTTTCCCTCCGAAAAGGGGAGGCTGGATTGTTCGGATAACTTAGCACGTTGCTTGGGGGATGTTAGATTCGATACGCAGATTGGTCACAGGACGGAGCTGCACTCCAAAAGTCCCAAACCTCTGCGAAAGGATCGTTATCATCGCAAAGCAGTGACACTCACGTGCAACGTATGTTCTATTTTGCTGGCCAACTGCATGTTCTGATGTCGTCGGGTGTTTCAATATGAACTCTGAGTGTTTGTCTTCGTCGATGTCGTGCCTGCTCAATCCCGCACACATCCGTTGAGTTCCCGATCGCAAAACCAGGCTGAGTGGTTCCGCGTGGGGCTCAGTCTCAAGATCGAATTGGGCATTGAACCGCACCTGAACGGTGGCGCGGCCGCTTTCAAGTCTCATCAGAAGGATGTTACCTCGATCATCCTCGATCGAACGAAGTATTCTGTCATGGTATGGTAGGGTACTGGAAAGTGCCAGGTGTAACTCTGGACGCACATTCTTCAGGATATCGATCAGCGCCTTGGTTGCTACAACTGGCTCGTGCAACTCAGTTGCACAGCATAACTGTTTAAGGTCGTAGCGGTGCTGGGCCACGAGTTGTAACATCAAGGCGTTACTGGAACGCTTCATGCAAAAGTAGTCATGCGAGAGCCGCTTGACAACGTTGCGGTTCCTATCGTGCACGAAACACGGCAACGGCCCGAATTTGCGATGCGTATCGGGCAAATGCGTGGTCAGTATTTGCCGCTATAGCACTTTTGGTGCAGCCGCAGATGCCTCGTGACAGCGGACGAGAGGTCGTCGTAGCTGACGGCCTCGCCTGTGGATTCGGCGACAAACGAGTCCAAGGCGCAACGCGCTGCGAAGAGGCTCGAAACGTTGTCGGCGCCAGCCCTCCCGCCATCAACATGAGCAACCACTTCTTAAGCGCAAAGCGCGGGCACGTTAGTAGTGGACAAAGTCTCGGATGCACCCGCTGACGGCCTGCCAGTAACGAGCGCCGGGCGAGCATGTTGGACCCTGCGTGGCCAAGGCCAATTCTGAAGACATTCGCTGCTGGCGTCGCCATCGGTGATCTTCACGATCGCTGAGGCTTTCATGGGCGCCGCGACCTCTTTTTCAGTAGCGCCGCCCACGACGCGCGCTTGCATCCAGTCCACGCGCATGAGCGATATCGCGCCACGCCCCAGGAAAAGGGGTCCAAGTCGATATGCTTCGGGTGGTGACGCCAGCCGTTAAGCTGAGCGAGCTGCCTAAATCTTTCTTCTGATACCTCGCCCCGACCAAACCTTTTTCCCAATGGGGGTCTGCTTCTTTGCGAGATCGCAACGGCGGTTGCATCTGCGTTGATAGTCCATTTCTTGCAGTCCAGGGATGCGCCTGATGCATGCCAGCCACTTGCGTCGCACGCGCCGTAGTCAACGTCGCGCGCCATTCTCGCAGGACCCCGTCGCCCCCAGTGGTGCGCTCCAGTTTCGCGACCAGCGTCGCGCGCACCGCGCCAGCGCCGCGCCTGGGCGCGTCGAGGGCGACGCCCGCCTTTGCGAGGTCGGCTTCCTGGTCGGGCTGAAGAAGAGCCTCTTCAGAAGCGCGCCCATTGCGTGGCCGATGCCACCAGGGGCTGCCCTTCTCAGGGCCACGACGGCGCCCGCGCCTCGGTCATCCCTTGTCTTGTCCAGGGCATACCGCTGCGATGTGCCGTCGAAGTAGAGGCAGGTTCGCCATGGCGCAGCGGGGGCGCATGGGCGTTCCTGGAACTCACCAAGGATCTGAACTCGCTGCTCTCCGTACTCGTAGCGCGCAGCACGGGCCCAGGCGCGCGAGCCCAGTCGCCGAGCACCTTGCAATTTGGATAGCGGCATCGCAACGCATTGCAACGCGCGCCCGCGCGGCGGTCGCTTGGGCGACGACCTTTTTTCGGGGCGCGATGCTGCGCGGTCCGCGAGGCGGCGTCGGGCATCCCATGGTCTGTGATATCCACGTTCGGAGATGTAAGGGCCGCGGTGGATCTCGTTGAGGGCCTTGGCGTCTGTCCTGCGACGATTTCGCGGCGATGGCGCCGCGGCCTCGTTTGGGCCAGACAGGCCGCGGATGGCGCGCGCGGGCTGCGACGCAGCGCGCGTCGCGTGGCAGCGATGCCGCGGGCGCGCCGCGGCGAATGTCAATCTTTACCTGGCGTCCACCCAGTGAGCTGCATAGCTCGCGACCCTTCGCGGCATCGCGCGGGCGCGCGCGCGCGGCCCGTTCTCCGGACAGCGCCGTTCGCCTGCGATGCTGGTCGCAGCGCAGAGTTGGTTCAATTTCGCGCGCGCCCACCTCATTGCCCGCGACTTGCGTTGCCGGCGTGGTGGGCGCGATCCGCGTGGCTCGCGCGACGGGCATCCGCTGCGCGCGCGACTGCGTGACTTGACCCGTTTGCGTGACTCGCGCGCGTTCTCGCCTCCCCCCATCGACCCGAGCTCTCTGCGTCGCTGCAACGTGCGCGGCCCGCCCGGGGCTCGCCGCCCGCTCCAAAGTTCGCGTTCGCCGCCGCGGCCCCGCCGCAATCAATGTCAGCCCGCCCGCGGCGGCAGTCGCCCCGTGGAGGCCCCTGTGTTTCTGCGGCGCGGCTGACGCGGCCGCGCGTGCAATGGGGGCGCAACCTGCGCGCAAAGCCAGCGCCGATGGTTATATTGCGAACGGCCGAGAACGCGCGGGCCACGCAACTCCAGCGCGACCGGCGCCGCGACGAAATCAAGGGGGCCAGCGGGCTGAGGCAGCCGCGCGCTCGTTGCTGGACGGAGACAGGCGAAGCCGTCTCACTTGAACAGGTTGAAGAAAACCCGTTGGAATGTCTGGGGCGCTTCGCGACCTTTTGCCGGCGGGCCTCGGAGCCCCCATTGGCGATTCATGTCTTCTACGGCCTGTAGTCGGCCCCGGCCTCTCGATGTCGGCGCGCGCGCGGCCTTCCCTGCGCCGGGGCGCTGGGGCCCCGGCCGCGGGGGCAGCGGGGGGCTTCGCTGGCTCATCGTGGCTGACGGGTTTCTTCATGACTTGCATGGCCAGGGCGGCGGCCTTCATCGGCGCGCCATCTGCGCCCGCTGGCCTTTTGCGAGCGCCGTGGTCGGCGTCGCACTCGCCTCCGTCGTCGGTGTCGGTCTTCTTTCTGGGCTTCCTGTGGACAGCGTTATCAGCAAGTGCCCTGCGCGGCGCCTCACCCAGCCGCCGTCTCCCCTGCGGGCGCCCCCTCTTGAGCGGCAGCGGCCGCCGCGGGCGCCGCGGGCGCTTTTGCCTTGGGCGCTGGTTCAGCCGTGTGGGGGCGCGCAGCTTCCAACGCTGCAGTGGACGTGACCCCTGGGGCTGGCGGCCCGAATCCCTGGGGGCGCGGCGCGGGCCCCCCCGAGGGCGAGCATTGCGACGACGTCGCTCTGCCTTGCCGGGGCATCCGCAGCGCTGCCCTGGCGCGACGGCGGCGCCGATGAAGATCGCCGCCGCCGCGCCCTGGCCGAGCATGGCCGCGCGCGCCCCGTGCTCTGCTGACGGCGCGACTGCTGCTAATGGCACGACCGCTGCGCTGCGCTGGGCCGTCCTGGAGAGCGGCCCAGTGCGGCTGTTTCCCAGCGCCTCGCCATCTCTCGCGCGCCCCCAGAGGGCCCCGCCCGAATCGCGCGCGCCCGCGCGCCGCGGCTCGGCGGCAATATCCGAGGGGTCGTCGCGCAGCCAACCAACGCGGCGCTTCCACGTGGCGGAGTCGATCGCTCCGACACTTCTCTCGATCTTGGGGAGTCTAGTGGTTGCTTCCCGCATCGAGGCCCAATACCGTGGCGATCACGGTGGCGACGCTCCCTTTCGCCGCCTCGCTAGGACAACGCATGCTCAACTTTCTGGCTCGATCGACGACGACTCGAATCATTGCTTTCCCTGCAAGCATGCCGCCCGTGAACTTTGTGGAAGCAGTTGCTTCTCGTTTGCGCTTGTCCAAGCTATCGGGCATGCCTAGTCTGCTGCCGACTGCAGTGCGTCACGCCGTGACTCGAGTTGTCGTCAATTGCGCGAGTGACTGAGCCTGGATGGCTCCCGCGAGTTGCGTCGCCTGCTCGATATCGACCCCCGTCAGGCTTTCTTTTTTTGCGGTCGATAACCCATTTTTTCGTCGGGTGCAACCGGCTGGGCCAAGCCGCCAATCTGGGGGCGGGCCCAGTCTGCCGCGTGGCTCAGCTCTGCGATTGCGTTCGAGATGCTAGCCATGGTTGGGCAGCCAAGCGCGGGGGGACTGCGCGCAGAATCTCCGGGGCCTAGATGGTTGCAGACACGACGTCCGTTGCGACAGTCGCAGTTCGCGCGGCATGGTCCGTCGGTTTCACCGCTGGCTGGGGGCGCGGGGCTTGCCGGAGCCGATCCGGCCGTGCCCCGGCGCTCCCAGGAAGCTGTCCAGATCCCCCGACGCCCTCCACCCCGCTTCTCGGCAAGTGGTGCAAGTGGCAGAATGTTTCTGCTCCCCCACACCGGCAGACAATCAATTAGCACGTGATATATTTATATAAATATATATATATATATATATATATATACACATCATGGCCGACTGCATTGAATGCAAAGCGTTGCCTGATATTGGCGCCGCTGGGCAGTTGCATTCTTGATCGCGCGTCGGTGAGCTGCGAGGGGGCGTTTGTGCGCGTGGACATGGACGCCATCCGCGTTTCCTTTGCCACCTCCATATTCTTATTCGCAGCCTCGAAGTTCTCGTCGGCCTTAACCTACCTGTGCACTGCGGGCGGGCGCGCATGCATGGTGTGTCTTTTCCCCGTGCCCCATTTGTCATGACCACTTGCTTGACTGCGTGCTCTTGCGAGGCCGTCGCCCTCGCAATTGCTGCTGCAGCCGGTCCTGGCGGTCAGGCTTGACGTCCGCGCGAGATTTCGCGTCCATCTGGCGAGCCTTCGCCCACTTCACCACCGGCGGGCCCGCGGCTGTGGGCGGGGGGGATGGATTGGCTGTGGAGATGCGTGCCGGGGCGTTTGGGCGGCGGGGGAGGGGGAATTGAGCTGGCTGTTCCGGAGGGGTGCAGGGGGGGACGGGTGCCGTGCCGAAAGAAAGAGGTCGGGGCGGAGAGTGCGCGCTGGCGTCTGCGGAGGAAAGCGGGGGGGGACCGGCGCGTGCCGACAAAGGGCGGCGCGTTGGCTGACGGGGGAGGAGGGGGACGGGTGCGTCGCAGGTGCAGTGCCGAAATGCAAAAAGGTCGGGGCGAAGAGGGCGCATTGGCTGGTGGTCAGTATCGCTGAGCCGATCCCCGTCCCCATCCAGACCCCCACCATTTCATCCCCAAAGCTGGGGACATACCTTTCGAAATCAGACTGACGCTGCCAAACTCCGCGTCTAGGGAGGTAAACCGGCCAGTGGGGCACAGGCCACGCGAGTGGGGATAGGGATCGGTTCATCGATGTTCAGGGGAGGAGAAAATAGGCTGGCTGCGGAGGGGGGGGGCGGGGACGGGCGCAGCGCTGGTGCCGCGCCGAAAGGAAGGAGTCGGGGCGGAGGGGCAGGTGGGCTGGCTGCAGGGGGCCGACGGCGGACCAGGGGGGGAGGGGGCGCGTTGGCGGCTGCGGAGACAGGGGGGGCAAGTGCTAAGTCGGGCATGTTCGTTTACAGGGGGGATATTCAAACATTGTTCAAAAATAGTCCAGGGGGTGATTGTTGTACGTTTTTTCCAACCACCCTGTGGTGTTGGGTCCTCGTTTTGAAGAGACGGTCCCCGCGTCCCTCCTTCCTCCCCCTCCCCCCTCCTCCTTCCTCCCTGCGTTTCACCCACCCAGCACAGACGACCAGCACAGACTCTACCCAGCGACAGGTGGCACCAACACACCACGACATCGACTACAAGGATTCCTCCCCCTCCTCTCCTCCCCTCCGTTTCACGTAACTTTTTACATGTCTCGCATGCACGCCTCACCATACACAGTACTATTTCAGAGGCCACGGCCTCATTCACCTAGTCTCCAGTAGGCCCGGACTGCTGTCCGCATTGGTGGTCGTTCGTTCGTTCGTTCGTTCACCCACCCAGCACAGCGTTTCATGACCACATAGGGAGCTCCACCGAAGGCCTCATTGGCAGGGTTTGCATGGCGGCCCCGCTTTTTGGCGCACCCCCCACACGGTTCGCGGCTCCATATGGAGCTCCACAGAAGGCTCCAGTGGCAGGGTTCGCATGGCGGCCCCGTCCCATTTTGGCGCACCCCTCACATGGTTCCTGGCCCCATAGAGTGTTCCACCGAAGGTCCCAGTAGCATGGTTCGCATGGCGGCCCCGTCCCATTTAGGCGCACCCCTCACACGGTTCCTGGCCCCATAGAGCGTTCCACCGCAGGCCCCAGTGGCAGGGCTCGCATGGCGGCCCCGCCCCATTTAGGCGCACCCCTCACACGGTTCTTGGCCTCATAGGGAGTTCCACCGAAGGCCCCAGTGGCAGGGTTTGCATGGCGGCCCCGCCCCATTTTGGCGCACCCCTCACACGGTTCGTGGCCCCATAGAGTGTTCCACCGAAGGCCCCGGTGGCAGGGTTCACATGGCGGCCCCGCTTCATTTTGACGGACGCCTCACACGGTTCGTGTCCCCACAGGGAGCTCCACCGAAAGCCCCAGTGGCAGGGTTCGCATGGCGGACCCGCCCCACTTTGGCGCATCACTCACACGGTTCGTGGCCCCATAGGGAGCTCCACCGAAAGCCCCAGTGGCAGGGTTCGCATGGCGGCCCCGTCCCATTTTGGCGCACCCCTCACACGGTTCGTGGTCCCATTGCGAATGCCCTTTGCTTCGTCCCAGCTGCCCTGCGGTTCTCACACTTGCGTATGGTTGGGTCCTTCGCCAGGATAATTGACCATGTTTGGGCATGTCTTGACTATTTGTTTTCCGTCGAACATCCCCCTGTAGGAGGACATGCCCGACCTAAGACCAGTGCCATACCGACATAGAATTGTTTGAGTGTTGGACACGTTGCGCAGGATAATTAACAAAGATGGTGCGAACAACCCACGCGTTATCAGGTTCTCGACACGCAATTGACTACGAGAGACCAATCTCCAAGCAATCCAGCCCGCCACAGTGATGAAGTGATGAAGAACGCTCGAGTGCGGGCAGGCGGGTCAGTGCGACCAGGCTCCCCCGATGGCGCCCGCACCCGAGACGGACATTGAGGAAGGTGTGCAGGACAGCGGAGAAAGCCGCCCCCGCATGAGAACAACCCACGCATCTAGCAACACAACAGTTTGGCAACACCAACATGCAACATTGAGGCACACCTGACTCTGACACGTCCCGACCCGCGCTTCAGGATAGAAGGCCAGCGGTGCTCATGGCCACGAGCGCGCCGCGATGAGGGAGCTGGGCACGACCCATGGCGCGATTGACGCTCGAACCAAAAGGATGATATACGTGCCTTGGGCCCCGTGTGTTTGCTGCGATGGTCATGAGAGGGTGGAGGGGCTGAAGCGGAGGGCACGAGGAAGGGAGGGAGGGAGGGAGGGAGGAGGCGGAACGGGTCGACATTGGGCGGGAGAAGGGAGGAGAGGAGGATAAGGGAGGAGGGAGGAGGGAAGAGGGAGAACGGAGGGAAGAGCGGGGAGGGAGGGAGACGGAGGGGGGATGGGGGAGGGAGGAGGGAGGGAGGGAGGGGAACGACGGGAGGGGAACTCGGGCCCCAGGGGAGCGAGCGGCAGGTGGTCGGGACTTGGGGGCTCGACTTCCGCGCGTGCGGCATCGACTTTTGCCCCATGTCCGAGGTGCCGCTGCTGGGGGGGGGACCTTCTGCGTCTGAGTGTGCGTCAAAGGGAGCAGGAGGGAGGAAATAAGACTGGGGAGGAGGAGAAGGAGGAGAAGGAGGACGAGGAGGAGGAGGAGGAGGAGGAGGAGGAGGAGAGAAGGGAGTGGTGGGGGAGGAGGACGAGGAATGGAGCAGGAGGAGGGCAGAGCAGGAGGAGGAGGAGGGAGAAGAGGAGGAGAAGGAGGAGGAGGGGAACCAGAGTGAACCAGAGATGCGTGAGCGATGCTGCAATACACCTGTCCGTCCCGAGTCCTCTCCTCACGTGCCCGTACAAGCTCCCTCTTTCACTACCGGGCGCTCCCCCGAGCAAGGACCAGCACAGCTGGTCCTGCCATTTTGGCGAGGGCCCCGCGTTGAGACGAACTGCCCTGCACCTATCTGGTGCGTGGCCAGGAACGCGAACACAAATGGCACAGATCATACAGATCTGCGAGGTGTCCAGCGACGCCTCTTTTTCGGAGGTCCGCACCCCCTTCCGTCGGTGTAAGCGCTGCACAAGCCTACCCTTGTGGCCATGAGTTTCGAGGACCTTTCAAGTGGCAGCTCCATCTAAACGAATAGCGCCACGGATAACGAAATCTAGGGAATAGCCCGTTTCCGACCGACATGTTTGATATTCTTCCACCGTGTCGGGAAGACCGTGGGCAATTCAATTCGTTACCAGCGGTGTCCGCAGGTGATACTGAATCTGTTTCAATTCACCAGATGTGATACTGAATTACTTCTTAGTGAACTACAGGACCACATGAGTTCAAAGTCCCAAAAAGCACGCGGAGCATGAAGAAGAGAGCGCCACGATTTGTGCCTTGCTGGTGCGATCCCGGAACGACCACCATGAACGTGAGCAAGTGTTGGGTGTGCCAACCCGATATTTATGAACATTACATTGGCCCCTTTGCAGCCACACATGTTGCTCATAATGGCTCTGCCTGCTGTGGGCATCATCCCAAATATGGTCAGAACAGAAACACAGTGTCCACACTGTCCAGCTGCCTTTCGGAACACCCGCCACCGTGCCTGTGCACCAGCACCAGCATAGCAGGAATGAGATTGAGCGTGGGAACAACGCAATTCCGAAGACTGGCCTGAACTGGGACGGGTCGTGAACAGGAGCTCGTTTTCATCGGCGCGGCAGGGGGGAGATCGAGTTCGCGCCCAGTGCAGCGAGCGGTCTGAATTGAGGCGGGTCATGAATTCGACCTCATCTTCGTCCGCACGGTGGGGAGGTAGAGGAGGTGGAGGAGGATGAGGAGGAGGTTGGTGTCTCCTGGGCCGTCGTAGGGGGCTCTTGGCTCGTCTGACGACCGTCATGGGGGCTTCTGGGCCGTATTGGTGTCCTCTTGGAGCTCTCTAGTGCCGGCTATCGGCGGCGAGCGAGAGGGGGAAGTGAGAAGGAGAAGGTCTTCTCAGAAGGCTCGGAAGTCCACTGGCCTTCTGAGAAGTTGACTAAGCCTTCCACGAAGACACAGAACACTTCTCAGAGGGCGCGAGGGCTTCCGTCAAGTCCCGCAGCCTTGTGAGAAGGCCTTCTCCCTCTCACTTCCCCCCCTCGCCCGCCGCCGAGTCTAGGGGCCCATCTTGGACGCTCTTGGGCGATCTTGGGGTCATCTTGGGCCGGCCCGTCTTGGGCGGTCGGAAGCCCCAACTGGTGAGGACCTCACACTTCTTCAAAGCCTAAGCTGAGCACTATGCTTCGCCTCCTCGGGCTTTCCTGGAGGCTTCCTGGCAGGCCTCTCGGCGCCCGCTCTTCGGCCGTCTCGGAGACCTCTCGAGCCGTCTCGAGGCCGCCTGGGAGCCTCTTTTGCAGTCTTGGGCCCTCTCTGGCCGTCTTTCGGGTGTTGCTAGAAGTGCCCCCTGGCCCAAGGTGCCCCTAGGATTTCCAAGGCTGCCCCAACGGCCTCTAGAGCACCCCTCACCAGGTCCAGAGGGCCCCAGGGGCTTCAAGATGGAGCGAAACGCTGGGGGGCACCTTGGGGTAGGGGCACTTTTAGCAACATCCGAGTCTTGGTGTCGTCTTGGCTGTTTTGGAAGCCGTCTTGAGAGTCATCTCCGCCATCCTGAGGCGGGGACAACGCCAGAGGGGGCGAGTTTGTGAGGTGGGTCGGTGCGAGGGTGGGGGGCCGGCCCTAGAAAACAGGAAGCGATCTTTCTAACAAGAAAGCTCGTTCCAGGCACGAAAAAGGGCAAGACAAGCACGAGAAGTCGTTACAAACACGAAAAAGGGCAGACACGAAAATGGGCAGGCGAGAAGCTCGTTACAAGCACGAGATATCCTCCCGGGCAAGCAGCGAGCTTCCTGACACGCCCACGCCGTGCAGGCACTGTGGCGGAGAAAGTGCTCCAAGGGCCAATGACAGCTCGGTGTTGCCGCACGCTGCGGTACGGATCACGGGACGAAACGCGCACTTCGGTTTGGTACGCTGCCCACGAGCGGGCATCTTTATCAAGTGCACTCCAATGTTCCACTCGACGAGCCAACCGATTGTTCCGACGGACCTTGTCGACCATCTGAGCCGACGCATACCGACGTCATGACCCACGAGAGGACCTGTTTTCTCAGCGGCTTCATTGGGCCCCCCTGGAATACAAAGCCTTGATGCGGGTATCTTGGAAGTTCGCCGTAGCGTTGGCCAGGGATCTGAAAATAGCCTCAACCGCGGAAGCCTCGCGGCAAGATCTCCTGACAACAGAGAGAGAGAGATATAATCACATACAATTGAATTTAGCAACTTTAATAACATAAGGCATTTCTGTTCTTAACCCTTCAACTCGCCACCTGTCACCAATCTTGTAACAACGGGCTGATTTTCATGAATTGACAGAGCAGGTCACCGCATCGGACAGCACAACATCGAAGCTGACGAGCTCTCCCGACATAGGGAGAGACCCCATTGGACAGCTGACACACATGTTGATAGCATCCTCCTGCCCGGCAGCACACGTGGCGCCGCAGAAGCCTGCCAACTGCTGCTTGATCGTGTCGGACAAACAACGTGCAAAGTTAGGTGATGCTAGGCCAGAGCTGCACATGACCAATCATGACCACTCGCCAATTGGGTAGAAATGCCCGGAGCAGAAGTTTGCTTCATGACGTCGCCGGCCTGATTTTAGATGCCACCAGACGCGTAAAAGCGTTCGATTGTAAGACGAGACACTGACACAGAATTTGCTCGAAAAGGTTTGCGCTCGAGCGTGACCACTGCAGACTGCCAGCAACTCATTACGTGCAGAGTCAAAACGGCGATGACAGAGTGTATTTGTTTTTGCCTCCAGCATCTGCCAGACCACTGCGTCACTAATCAAATGTGCAGGCGACGCTACGGCAGATCGACCGCCAGATTCGTAGTCAGTCCATCAAGCCATCCATTCGAAATCAATCCATGAACGAGGACGTTTCCAACATATCGTGTATTTCAATTGCGTGCAAGCCTCGGCCAGGGTATGGCAGATTCCAAGGGGTCTGAAGTAGTCAGAGATACGACCAACAGTTTGTCGACGTCAGTATGCGTGGAATGTAAGCATCTATCATTCCCCCCAGGGCTGCTGTGAACTGAGATATGTGCACATTGGACAGATCCGAGTGAAGACGAACGTAAGAGTAGCACATAAGGCGTCATGGTATGCGTAGCAGTCGGTCGAGTTGCTTGCGATGAGGGTGCAGCAGCGAGTACCGCAGGACGTCCACTCATGTCCGCACATCGCATCATGTAGCATGAGTGAGCACAGATCCTGACTGGAACTGTGCACTTTCTGTTTTTCACAATCTCGAAAAACACATGCCATGAGCATAAACTTTTGGCGCTTCGCGCAGATCTCTTGGATCCGCGCTGGGGACCCCCTGGCGGCGCCTGCGGCGCCGCCCCTGGCGCGCTCCGCGCGCCGGGGAGGGGGATCCAGCGCAGATCCAAGAAATCCGCGCGGAGCGTCAACAGTTGATGTTTGATGTAGTTTGTTTAGTCATGCTAATCGTGTTTTACGATTCTGTTTATTTGTTGTGTTTACGCTTATGTTCAACATTTTAATTTTATTGTCATGCTTATGTGTATGCTTTTTCTACAACCATGTCAAAAACCACTTCAGTAGATGAGGGCCGCCTGCACACCCGCACGTGTGCGCGCCGTCACACAGAGAGAAATTATGGTTGGAGCGCCAGCGTGAGCGCGCAGTCGCGCCCTCGAGCACGAGCTGATACGGCCACGCAACCCTTCGCCTTTTGGGTCTGCTTCACGTTGCCCCAACGGCTCGTGTCACTCTCGCCCCACCGACTCCAACGCGCTCTCTCTCCGCTTCCCCTCCTTCGCTCCCCCTCTGTCTCTCCTCTCTCCCTTCCTCACTCCCCCTCCCGCATCACGTCCTACTCCCCCCATACTGTTTGTCCCCCTCTTTCCCTTCTCGATCTGACCTGCCCCCTCTCCCTCCATCCCTCCGCCACCTATGGCCCTGGCCCAGGAAGGAGGTGCAGTATTGCCTGGAAGAGCGGGGCGGCCTCCGCCGATCGGCGTGGCCGTCGGGGCTCTTGAGCGCACTATGTGTGCCCCAAGCCAGTGGCTGGCCGTCATGCTGGGATGGTCTATGCAGTCGTGGAGGCCATGCGTGGGGTACAGGTTGGTCGCGGGCATCGGGGAAGGAAGAGGAAGAGGAGGACGAGGAGGGGGTGGGAAGGGGAAGGAGGGGGGCGGGGGAGGAGGCGCAGGGGGAAGGAGGAGAACCAGGCGATTGGGTTGCACCTGAAGTTCGGCTGGCGACACGTATGGGAACAGCTCATGGGATGATGGTACGTGTACGACGCAGCTCAGAATTTTGAGGTCGAATCTCCGTAGCCGTTACTGTTTCTCCGTGCCAGGAAGGAGCAGGAGGAGGAGGAGCAGCAGTAGCAGCAGCCACAAGGCTTGGACAAGAAGGGCCAGGATAATGAGGACGAGGAAGCAGCAGAGGGACGAAGAGGATGGGGGGCCTCCTCCCTTATCATCGGAGGCGGGCCCGTTGCGACAACGGATCTTGGGAACATGTTGAGGCCTCCTGCAGAGAGGGCCTTCTGGTGGCCGCCCGGAGCCTTTTTGGAGGCATTTTGGTAACATCTCAGGGGTTTGGAGGGCCATCTTGAGAAGGAGAACTTCCGGGGGCCCGTCGACTTCTCCATTCTGGGCCCCTGAGGGGGCAGCTTGGGCCGTCGGGGGGCGTCTGGGGCAGGCGTGGAGCCCGCTTGGGAATTCCTGGACCCTTCTCGAGGCTCTGTTGGACTGTTTTGGGCCAGTCTGGGGGGGCTTTCTTGGGCCGCCTCTGTCAGAAGCCAGAACAGTCACGAACCTTCATGTTAAACGACAAAGGCAAGTCATACGTTTCTCTCAGGAGACCCACGGGGGCGTCTTGGGGCCTCTTTGGCCTATTGACGCCATCGTGGACTGTCTTGGGATTGTCTGGGATGTCTTGGAGCCCTGAGGGACTGTCCCCGTGAGGGATATCTAATGGAATACCCCGCGACGCATAACGGCGAGTTCCCGCCATGGCACAAGTTCGGTTTCTGCAAGCAGCGTGCCCAGTGGCGAGCGGAAGACGAGGAGCTCGCTGGCACATGTCGCCAACGACCCGGCCGGATCCTTCTGTCGCATCCGCAGACCACCACCGCCAGTGAGCATCACCAAGGCCACCTCCAGGGTCACGAAAACGAAAGGCTTGCGAACCGCGAGCTCGCCAACAACGACGAGCACGCCGCACGCCAAAGGCCCCCCCCCCTCCCCCCACGCCTTTTTCCCCAGGCTCCCCATGGGGGGTGGCGGCGGTACGCCCGGGAATCCCCAGAGGCGGAGCCAGGGGGCCCAGAGTAGAATGCTCCTGCATGCAACGCGGAGCGACCCCCCTTTGTTACCTTGTCCCCTGGCTCCCCCGGACCGAGGCTCCCGAGAGGCTTCCAGCGGAAGCTTGACGAGGCACGGCCCGAAAACGGCGCACGCGGCCCGGGAGGCGGCCGATGCGCAATCACGAGGCCGAGCACGGGAGAGCCGACCACGAGGCCCAGGCGCAGGACTCGGGACAGCGCCACCTCCACGAAGCTCGGGAGAACCACGAAGACGATCCGCATGAAGAGCAGGCCTGTGCCAGCCACTTCCAGGCCGAGGATGTCCACCAGGTCCGCTGAGATCAGCGTGAGCACCAACGGCACCGCCAGGAAATGCAGTTATGTCCCGATCGCCAAGAGGATCCGCGGGCCCACCGCCACCTCAAAGATCTTCAGGGGATCTCCAGCATCCAGGCGCCAGCGGCGCGGCGTGGCAGGGCCAGCCAGCGCGAGCCCGGCGTGGGCCCAGCAGCCAGCAGCCCAGAGTGCCGGCCATGCCCAGCGGGGCGATGAGCACGGCGCTTCGGAGCTTCGGCGGAGAACCCCAGGCGCGAACGTCTAGGCCCCCTAGCTGGGGTCCTTGCCGCATCGCCGATCCGATGCGTCTAGGCCCCTCGATTGGGGTCGGAGGATCGCGCCGCATCGCCGATGCATCGACGATGCGGCTCGATGTGGAGCCCGTGTTTCCCCACGCCGACGTCGCCGCTGCATCGCCGACGCGTCGCCGCTGCATCGCCGACGCGTCGCCGATACATCGGCGATGCATTGGCGGTGCGGCGCGATCCTCCGGACCCCACCTAGGCGACCTCTAGAACGGCGGAGGGGCCGTCGGCCGCTCGCGGAGCCCACCCCTCCGCAGGCGGCACGACGGCCTGCCCCGGCGGCCCCCGCGGCGCCGACGAGGCGCCAGCGGCAGCCTGCGCACGGCATGCCGCCGTGCAGCGCGCCCCGGCACGGCGGCGCGAAGCCGCGGTCGCACACGGGGGGCGGGCGCGCCAGCCCGCAAAGGACGGGCACGAGGCGGGGGGCGGGCGCAACGGCGAGCGAGCCTCCTCGAGCCGCTCCGACGACGATGACGATGGCGATGGCGATGGCGATGGCGATGGCGATGGCGATGGCGATGAGGATGATGAGGATGAGGATGATGATGGTGATGATGATGATGATGATGATGATGATGATGATGATGAGGAGGAGGAGGATGAGGAGGATGAGGATGAGGATGAGGATGAGGATGATGATGAGGTTGAGGATGAGGATGAGGATGAGGATGATGAGGATGATGCCGATGACGAAGATGACGACGATGATGACGCTGATGATGCTGATGATGATGCTGATGATGTTTGGTGATGCTGATACTGATGCTGCTGCTGCTGCTGCTGATGATGATGATGATGATGCTGATGATGATGATGATGATGTTTGGTGATGGTAATGATGATTATGATGATGCTGATGCCGATGCCGATGAACATTATGATGCTCCGTGATGGTGATGATAGTGGTGGTGGTGGTGATGGTGATGATGATGCTGATGATGCTGATGATGATGGTGAAGATGAGGATGAGGATGAGGATGAGGATGCTGCTGATGATGATGATGATGATGATGATAGTGATGAAGATGATGCTGATGATGATGATGGTGATGGCGATGGTGATGTTGAGGATTGTGGTTGTGATGCCGATTCTGATTATGATGATGATCCTGATCATAATGCTGATGCTGGTGATGATGATGATGATGACGATGATGATGCTGATGCTGATGCTGATGCTGCTGATGATGATGAGGAGGAGGATGATGACGATGATGATGATGATGATGATGATGATGATGATGATGATGATGATGATGATGATGATGATACTGATGAGGCTGTTGCTGCTTCTGCTGCTGATGATGATGATGAAGAAGATGTTTGGCTGATGCTGATGCTGATGCTGATGCTGATGATGCTGATGAAGCTTTTTGGCTGATTGTGACGGTGATGGTGATGCTGATGGTGATGATGATGATGATGATGATGATGATGATGATGATGATGATGATGATGATGATGATGATGATGATGATGATGATGATGCTGATGGTGATGATCATGCTGATGCTGATGATGATGCTGATGCTGATGCTGATGCTGATGCTGATGCTGATGCTGAAGAAGCAGAAGGAAGCGAGATGGGGCAGAAGGGGTGCAGAGGCAGGGGGCAGGCGGAGAGGGCAAGCGGGGGAGCCGGGGCGCAGGAGAGGACCCCCCCCCCCGAAGGCGTACCTGCAGGGCCAGACTCGGGCGGACCAGGTCTTCGCCGACCGCGGGTGGCCGCGCGGAGGGCCTCTCCCGCCCTCTCCCCCTCGCCCTGCCGCTCCTCGCCCTGCCGCTCCTCGCCCTCTTGCTCCCCCTTCCCCTCCTCCTCCTCCTCCTCCTCCTCCTCCTCCTCCTCCTCCTCCTCCTCCCCCTCCTCCTCCTCCCCCTCCTCCTCCTCCCCCTCCTCCTCCTCTCCGGCGAGAGCCCCGTTTTGAGGAAGGGCCGCCGTCGAGCCGTGCGGCTACCACCTTTCTGGCGCGGCCGTCACGGTCTCTCGCTCTCTCTTCGGCCCTCCTCTTCGCTGCGGCTCTCCTCCGGGTCGCGAGGTCCGTCTCGCTTCTCTCCTGCCTCTCGCTCCTCTCCGCCCTCCTCTTCTCTGCTGCACCTTCCCTCGACATCTTTCTGGTGGGGCCGGAACGGTGTCTCTCTCTCTCTCTTTGTTTCTCTTTCTCTCTCTCTCTCTCGGAGGTTGCTAAAGGCGCCCCTGGCCCAAGGTGCCCTCCGCTTTTCGTTCGAGTTTGGAGCCCCTGGGGCCCTCTGGGCCTCGTGAGGGATGCTCTGAAGGCCCTGGAGGCCTTCTTAGAAGTCCTGGGGGGCGCCTTGGGCCAGGGGCACCTCTAGCAACGCCCGACTCTCTGCGTCCCCTGCTTGCCGCAAGTTTGTGTGATATCTTTCTTTCGCTTGGGTTCGGCTGCCTGCACCGTTGGCTCTTTTTGGATCCGTATCCCCTTCCATCTCCCCCCCCTCCTCGCGCTGCTCCTTCTCCATCCTCCCCAGCCTCGTGTTCCTCCCCGTTTTGCCCCTCGCTTCCCTCTTCTCCCTCTCCCTCTTTCTTCCCTCTCTCTGAGTGCGGCGCTGGGCAGACTGTCAGGTAGTGGCATACAGTGCGTCTCAGAATCCAGCACGCTTTCGGTCACGAGTCGGCGGCGCCAGTCTCTCGTTGCCTTGTGTGATCATCTTGGACTCCCAGAGTTCCAGTCCAGTCCAGTTTCTTCCCTTTCTTCCCCCCCACTTCTCCCTCCCTCTCTTCTCCCTCTTCTCCTCTTCTCCTCGCACTCTCCCCCCTCCTAACTCCCTGCTCTCTCTCTCTCTTTCTCGCCTTATGATCCCATCCCCCTCTCTTCTTCTTCTTCCTCGTCTTCTTCGCCTTCTTCTTTTTCTTTTTCTGTTTATTGTCTTCTTCTTATTGCTTGTCTTCTATCCTCATCCTGCTCCTCCTTCACCTCCCTCCCCCCTCCATGCTCCTCCCATGATCTCTCTTCCCTCTCTTTCCCCCTCCTGCGCTCCCGCCCTTGACAGATGGTACGGCGACGCTTGGGTGGACGTTGGCGACCGCATGAGGGCGGCAGCGGCCGAGCACCGGTGCGACGTCATAGTGGCCACCTCGATGGGGAATCAGCACGCCTCGCGCCCAGCTTGTCTTAAATCGAGCCTGTCCTTCTGCAGGAGGAATCTTCAACAATAGTCAGAACATAGTCTGGGTACGATTCTTTGATTATTGTTTGACCATGCTTGGGTATCTTTTGACTATGTTTTCATTCGTCCTCCATAATCCGCCTGTAGGAGGACCCGCCCGACCTACAGCTTGTCCTCAGGGAGCGAGGGGGCAGCCGAGTGAAGAGGAGGGAGCGATGCCCATGCCTTCGGTAGCAATTCACGGGATCCTTGCATGTCCTCGCAAGTCCGTTGTTGGGGTTCTTTGGCGTGCGCTGGCGTTTGATGATCGAGGAAGAGGTGTCGGTTTAGGGTCGATTAGCGTCGATTGGCGTCGGTCAGCGTCGAGAGCCAGCAAGATGGCGTGGGGGGCTCCCGTGAGTTGCCACAGAACGTACCGCTGCTCGTTCTGGAGAGCCCTGGTCGCCACCGCTGGAATCTCCCTGACATTCTGGCCAGAGTGCATCCCGGAAGATGTCCACGGACCGTGCATCCTCATGAGCAGCCGGCAGGAGAGGGGAGGGGAGGGGGGAACGTGCGGGGACGTGAGGCAGGGGGAGCCGAACGGAGGAGGGGAGGAGGTGGGGAGATGCGGGGCAGGACGGGGAAGGGGCGAGGGCAGAGGCCAGGGGGGGAGGGGCGCGTGATCCGTACGAGAGGATGTAGGCGAAAGGGAGGGGAAGGGAGGGGATGAGAAGGGCTGGGCAAGGAATGAATTGGGGAGGGGAGTGGTGGGGGATGGAAGGGGTGATGAACGGAGGGCCAAAACGGGTAGGCAAGGGGAGGGACGGAGATAGAAGGGGTGATGAACGGAGGGCCGAAAAAGGGAGGCAAGGGGAGGGACAGAGGAATACGCCCGGGGGCAGAGAGAGAGAGAGAGAGAGAGAAATGCTTGGAGGCAGAGTAGCTAGATAGGAGGGGAGGGGAGGGGGGACGGAAGGGAGGGCGGTGGACGAGAGGAGAGGAGAGGGGATGGGATGGGTGAAGGTGAAGGGGAAGGGGAGCAAAACGTGCAGGGGAGGTTTGGGGGTATGGGAACAGGGAAGTAAACAGAAGAGAATCTGTAAAGGGAAGGTGGGAACAGAAACGTAAGGTAAAGGGGACAGGGACTTCGCGGATGGGCATGGCGTGGTAGGGAAATGATGGAAGAGAGCAGGGAAACCGGAAAGGGGCGTGCAGGGGAGAGGATGGGGAGAGTACCCGGTTGCCTGCGGCAAGTCCGGCCACCGTGCCATCCCACCACCTAGGGGCGGCGATCGGCAGGAAGCCGTAACACGTGTCGGGTCCAGAATCAGCCTTGTTGTTCATTTTAGTTGCCTCTTTGGTGGGGTCCTCAGTGGGGGATTAGTTGAGGGGCTGGGGGCCGCGCAGCATCGTGCTTACACTGCGCGGGTCGTTGCCTGGCAAAGACAGGGTGCGGTCTTCTGTGGGCGTCTGTCAGGGGATCTTGGGCCTTCCTCGGATCGGGGCGATCGAAATGGGTACCTATTTTTTCCGTACCCATATCGGGCGTCCAAATCGGACGCGGCAGGGCCGTTGCTTCTGCAGACGTGTCCCGGCGCCTTGGCGGGTCTTCTTCGACCGCTCTTGGGCGCCGTGCCTTCGCATTGGAGCTGCTATGGGCCGTTTTGGGGGCTGTCTCTCGCGGCCGCTTCGGGGCGCGCGGTCGCGGGCCGGTGCGAATTCATGAAGTCTTTTTCCATGCCCCGTGTTAGGATCGGTTGCGGCTAGACCCTCACATCGCTCATTGCCTTTCTACGCGTGCCTGCTTCAAGTTTTGCTTCTGCACGTGTCTGTGTGATGTGTGGAAGCTATGTGCTCTGATGTGTAGAATTGGCTCGCCGAAGACAAAGTACACAGATCCACGGATGTGTAGAACCTGATGTCTGGTTCTGACCCCCCCACCAGTTCGAGGGCGTGTATACAACCGAAGTTGTAGGGACGTCGACATTGAAAGCAGCCCGCGCTGGTGAGGGCGGACAACAAGGAACGGACAGGAGCAGGAAGCACTGCTGCACTGTCGGCGTTGCCTGCTGCGTGAGTGGATGCTTTCACGGGGTCGCCCGAGGGCCTCTCTGGGGCCTCTTTGGAGGCTTTCGGAGGATTCTCTGGGCTTCTCAGGGGCTCCTCGGGGGCGTCGCGGGGCTCCGCGAGGCCTCGTGGGGATATCTTTGGGCTTCCTGGGGCTTCGTGGGAGGCCTCGTTGCACTTCCCATGGACGTCTGTTGGACGTTGGCTTCCTGGGGCTTCTTGGGAGCCTCAGTGGGGCCTTGTTTTCTTGTGGGGGGGCCTGTTGGCGCCTCTACAGGCCCTCTAGGGGGTGCTGCGGGGCCCTCTAGGGGGTGCTGCGGGGGGCCTCATGGGCCGTCCTGGTGACCCCTCGGGTCGTCGTGGACGCTGTGAAAACTCACAAGGCAGTAACATGACACGCGTGCAGAAGCCATTGCCGCTTTTGTCCTGGGAGACCTCATATTGCCTTGTTGGGCGTTCATGAGATCCCATCGCCGCAGTTTTTGAGGACGCGTGGGGCCCGGTTGGAGACGCGTGGGGCCCGGCAAGATTGGACGTCTTGGAGTCCATGTGGCGTCATCGCCGCCTTTGGCGACGGTTTTTTGCCAGCTACCGTGGGCAAGCAGGGAATGGCGAGGGGGCTGGCAGGCGCCCGGGAGGGGATGGGTGCCAACACAGCCGTGCGTCCGTTTATTCTGCACTCCCGAGCGAAGAGGGCCTGGACTTGCACCCCGAACTGGGTGCGCGCTGGGTTCGATGCGCCAGGGGGGCTCAGCTGTTGGCTCGCCAGGGACGGAAGAACAGGCAAGGAGAAGGCCGACGCACGCCAACATCCGCAGGCGCGGTGGCGGCTCTTCTGCTCCCGCGGGGCCGCTCTTGGCATCGCCTGGGCTAACTGCGCGGCCGTGGTTGGCTCTCCTGGTCCTTTCCAGCGGCGTCGAAGCGCTGGTGGACGAGCCAATGCGTTGGCAACTTGCAGGTTCTGGGGGAGGGGGCTCCTGAAGAGTGTGCAGTGGGGGCCCATGCCAAGAAGCACCCTGCTTGCCTCTGGGGTGCCCTGGGTTTCTTGGGTGTCGATGGCTTTGCTGTGGAAGGCGCGACGTGCCCACACCACGAATCAATGGACGTCCTAGGGTCTCAGGGTTGGGATTGTTGTGGACGGTTTCTTGTGGACTGGCCTCCACTGCACGGAATCCCTGACACACGCTGCGGCCAAAGGATGCGTCGGGTCGATCGCAGGCTGTCCAGTGGTCTCCAAGTCAAGACGGCAGTCCGCCACCCACCTGCGCGCGTCATTCCGTTGCCGTGCCGCTCGGTGATCCGCCCGCGCTGCAGGTTTCCTCCGGGTGCTGGTTGGCCGCACAGCTCACCCCCGGGAGCGCGTCGCCTCCTCCTCCTCCTCCTCCTCCTCCTCCTCCTCCTCCTCCTCCTCCTCCTCCTCCTCCTCCTCCTCCTCCCCCTCCTCCTATCCCTTCTGCGTCCTCCTCCTCCTCCTGGCCCTCCTTCGCCCTGGCACTGTCGGTGCTCGCCGCCCTTCCTGGCCCACGGTCGTTCTTTCCCCCCGACGGGGGCGAGCTCGTGTGGGCATCCGCTGCACTGCCGGTCGACGTCTGCGGCGCGGGTGCCCGAGGCTCTGGACATTGCGGAGAAGGAGAGCATGCTCTGCTTCTGCCTCAAGTTCTGCCCAGACATCGATGGGCAGATCCCCACCGCAGAGGAGCGGCCCTGGCTTTGCTCCTTCGGGTGTGGCGAAACCTTGCCTCCCTCTCCCCCCCGCGCTTCTCTTGTGCCTGTCCAGATCCTCGTTTTTGTGCCGGTCCAGGTCTCAGAGGAGGAAAAGGTACCCATATCTCTACCCTTCGGCCGTTTTCCCCGTTTTGGGCCTCCCGGGAGGCCCTCGTCGCCACCGCTGGATTCGCCTCGAAATCCTGGTCAGCACGCACCCCGGGAGAGGTCCCGGGAGTAGCCGAGTCGATACATTTTGGTGTCCCCAAGATCTCCTCTTGCGCAGTGCCGCCGCCTGCTCGACCTGGAACAGTGGGCTGCTTCTTGTCCTCTCCCACCCAGGGCTGAAAGCCACCCCGGCACCTGCATGTCGCAGAGGCCCGACGGGAGGTTCTGGCTGGCTCTGAAAAGCGACGGGCAGCTCGAGGACGGGCGAGACGCCGGGATCATCAGAAGGTTGGCGGAGGACAGCTCTACAGACCCGCCTCGTTCCTCGTTCCTCCCCCCTGCCCCCCCCCTTCCCAGGAAGGTGGGCAACAGGCAGAAGAGGAGGGGAGGGGCCCGCGCGACGAGTTCTGATGCGGCCCGCGCGGCCGATTCCGCAGGGAAAGGGTTGGGACTTTGTGGGCGCGAGCAGGCGCGAATGGGCGCCTGCAGTACATGCGACAACCTGGATACTGCTCGACACTGTGGGCGCTCATTACAGTCGGGGCCCTGAAGAAGGAACTCTTTTTGTTGGGGAGGGGCTCGGTGTTCCTTGATTGGGCTGCAGTTTGCCTTCTGTTTTCCTGAGGTTTTCCATGGGAAATCGAAGTTCAACTTATGGGAGAAAGGGGCCCCGTTCCTTATTTAGGGTTCCTTATGTCAACGCCCCGACTGTAGGGGGGGATGGGGGAGGAGATGAAGGATGGGCACGGAGCGGAGAGAGGGCGCAGGCGCCCGATCCTCAGAGAGCTGCCCGCGCGCGGGGCAGGAGCGGAGCCCCCCCGGGGCTGCCCGGTCCCCCCGGGGCAGGGCGGGGGGACCACGGGGCGAGGGCGCGGGGCAGGGCGAGGGAAGGCGACGCCAGCGGGGGTGCGCGGGGCGCCGCGGGCGGCGGGGGGGGGCACGGGGGCACCAGGGAGCAGGGCTGGGCCTGAACGGTGTTTTTGGTGATCTCGTGGGCCGTCTTCGTTGCGACTTCGTTTTGCAGCAGAGGCGGACTGGAGGCAGAAGCGAGGGAAGACGGAAACAAAACGACAAGGAGAAACACCGTTCAGGTTCAGCCTTGCCAAGGATCGGAGGGGGGCTCGGGCGAGTGGTAAATGCGGGGTGACCCAGATGGGGGGTGAAGAACAAGTCAGTATCGTTGAGCCGACCCCCATCCCCATCCCCATCCCCTTCGAGACGCCCACCAAATTACCATGCCAGTTGGGGATGCACCCTTCGAAACCCGAAGGGAACGGCCTATATTCCCATCTAGGGGGGGCATCGGCCAGTGGGGCCCAGGCCACGCCGCTGGGGATGGGGGTCGGACAAGCGGTGCTCCACAGGGCCCCACATGGGGCCCCTGTGGGGCATCTTTTGGAGACAGCTGGTGCTTAAAAGGGGCCCCAAAGGGCCCCTTTAGGGCCTTTTCTCTTAACCCCCCGGGGGCGGCGGGAGGGGGGCCATTGGAGGTGACGGCGGCCCTCTCGTTGTTGGCCAGGGGTGGCCTAACCTGTGTTTTGGCGATTCCGTGGGCCGTCTTCGACGTCGCAAAGGCGAATTCAAGACAAAACGAGGAAACACGAAGAGAAAACGAACATGAAAAACACTGTTTAGGTCCAGCCCTGATGTTGGCCTCCTGGAGTCGAAGAGGAAACTGCAATAACAAACCTTCGGTGCTCCGCGCGGACCCTCGAAAGCTTGTCGTCGTGCGGCTGTTTGCTCTGTGGAGGCTTCTCGTCGCCACGGCTGGGTCCGCCTCGACAAAACAGGTCGGGATGGACGCCAGGCAGGGTGCAGGGGGCCTCTTGGTGTCGGACTTGTCCACGGCGGGAGAGCCGCCGTTGCCTCACTGGGCCTGCCCCCGAAGCGGGGAGGGGAGCCTCGCAAGTGCTGCCCGAGGACCTCCAGGGGCGCCCCTTCGGCCGGATGGCGGCACTGCTCGGCTTCCCTTGGGCCAGCGTGCCCGATAAAACGACGCGAAGATCGGGACACAATCGGATCGGGATAACTCGAAATCTCTGAGAATCGGTGGGTTTGGAGGATGTATTGGGCGCCGCGGCCGCTCCAGAGCGTTTCCGAACGCTCTGAGAGCGCTCCGGAACGCTCTGGAGCGATTTATCCCGATCCTAGCCCTGTTTTAGGGAGGAGCTTCGAACTGCTGTGGAGGAAACGCCCAGCCACAGCTGCCAGCCGCAAGACCCGAGCATTTTTGTCGGTGGGTGGAGGGCAGAGGGTGCAATCCGACATGCCGTTTCGACGAGCGTTCGAGGCTCGACCCTGCAAACGACGAAGCGCAAGACGGACTGCACTGATTCTCGAGGTGCAGCAGCCCACATGGATTCCACCCTCCTACTCCTCCTCCTCCTCCTCCTCCTCCTCCTCCTCCTCCTCCTCCTCCTCCTCCTCGTCCTCGTCCTCCTCCTCCTCCTCCTGGAGACGACGGCCGTGATGCGGCCGGCCCGCGAGGCCGCCTCTCCCACCACTGCGCTTGCCCCTCTCTCGCGCGTGCTGCCCGACCGCCCGCGCGACGGGGGCGGGCGGGCGTCGGCCCGGCGACGGCCTCGGCGCTGCACTTGCGGAAGAGGCGGCTCGGCCGCTATGCTTTTAGGCTTGCGCGTGGCCAATTTGGCAGGCCCGTGGCCCGGACCTCTCACTCGGCGACAGCGATTCCGCGTCCGCCCGCGACCCAAGAAAAAAGTGGAAGAGGCGTGCCGCAAGATAGTTCCCAGATGTCTAGAACATGTTTCAAACATGTTTCAGATGTGTAAAAGCACGTTTGAATCATTTTTTAGATTCTGTATATATATATGTTTTACAAGTGTTGAACACATGGCTTAATTCCATGATCGGATTGTTAGAGTGTCCATGTCGTAGCATCCACAACGCTGCGAGAGCCTCTCGCTCCGAGGGAGGACGGGCGACCCTCCCTTGGGAGGACGGGCGACCTTCCCCTCGCACGCGCCGTCGGTGTCGGCGTTCCTCGCTGCAGGGAAGTCCTCCCCCCCCTGCCCTTGGTATCGCTCGGACGTGTGCACTTCTTCTCGGCGGGGATCATTAAGGAGCATCCTGAATCATCCTGCGAAAAAGCCACGCACGAAACCGAAACAAACACAGGGAATGGACGTCCGAGCGATGGCCAGTGCCCGTTGCCCCATCCGCTTTCTCGTCGTCCTCCTCGGCCCCCACGATGAACGCCTGCTCCTACTCCGCCTGCCGCCCTCGCCGTTCCCCCCTGCTCCCTCCCCGCTCCCCCGCCCCCCCTCCTCCCCCCTCCCTCATATCCCTCGTCGACGTCCTCTCCTCCCACCTCCCTCCTCCCTTCCCGCGTCTCTCCGTCCTCGCGGCTGTCCCCGCGCCTCCGCCCCCCCGCCGCTGCCCGCCGCAGCAGAAAAACACGCGGCCCGGAGTTCCCTCCGTCCGGGTACCCGCGCGGGATGCCCGGGCCGCTCAACTACGCGGCCCACGTGCTCGAGAACACTCGGGTTGTCGGGTCCGTCTTCGTCCGCGGCCCAGCGACTCGGCGCCCGCGCCCTCTCCCCCCTCTTTTTGTCCCCGGCGCGCTGCGCCCGCACCTCCCTCCCCAGGTCTCCTCAACCCTGCCCTCGTCCTCCCTTCTCTCCTTCCCTGTTCCTTGATGCTTCTCTGTTTCGTTTCCTCTGTTTCTCTCTCTCTCTCTCTCTCTCCCTCTGTTTTTATATATACGCATGTGTCTATCCCTGTGTCGCTCCCTCTCTCCCTTCTCTCTCTCTCTTTCTCTCTCTCTCTCTCTTGCTCGTGTGTTTGTATATATATATAGATATACATATATATGTATATATGTATGCCTCTGTCTTTCGGCGTTTGCTTTGTTTACATGTTTATGTGTCTCTCTCTCTCTCTTTCTTTTTTTTCTCTGCCTCCCTCTCTCTATGTATATGTTTATCTCGATTTACTTGTAGCTAAATCATTGTATTGTCATCTGCGATTGATATATCCGTAAGGGCTTCGCCCCCTGCTGCCGGCCCCCTCTCTCGGAGAATGCGCTATGCAAGAGCTATGTCATGAGGCCTGGGCGCTGTCGCGAAGCAGTATCGGAACTTCATGCGAGGCCGACTCGTAATGAGCAAAACCAATTCATCACCAGAGGGGTTACCACACCTGGCCGTTGGTAAGACGTCGTGACCCTGCGGATCTGCGTGAGCGGTGTCACCGAATTTAGAAATGTGGCAAATCCCATGTGTTTTTGGGCCTTGACCCTACTGATCTGCGTAAGGGGTGCCACCGAATTTCAGACATGTGGCAAATCCCCTGTGTTTTTGGACCCTGACCCTACGGATCTGCGTGAGGGGTGCCACCGAATTCCAGAAATGTGGCGAACCCCGTATGTTTTTGGACCCTGACCCTACGGATCTGCGTGAGGGGTGCTTCCGGGTTCAGGAATGTGGCAAATCCTTTGTGTTTTTGAACCCTGACCTTGCGAATCTGCGTGAGGGGTGTCGCCGAATTTCAGAAATGTGGCGAATCCCTGTGTTTTTGAACCCTGACCCTACTGATCTGCGTGACGGGTGCCACCGAATTTCAGATATGTGGCAAATCTCGTGCGTTTTTGGATCCTGACCCTACGGATCTGTGTGAGGGGTTCCACCGAATTTCAAACATGTGGTATATCTCCTGCGTTTTTGGACCCTGACCCTACGTATCTGCGTAGGGGTGCTATCTGCGTAGGGGTGCCACCGAATTTCAGAAATGTGACGAATCCGTAATGTTTTTGGACAGACCCTACGGATCTGCGTGAGGGGTGCCACCGAATTTTAGAAATGTGGCAAATCCCATGTATTTTTGGACCCTGACCCCTGCCCCCGGATTTCAGAAGTGTGGCAAATCCTTTTTGTTTTTGGACCCTGACCCTGCGGATCTGCGTGAGGGGTGTAAATTTGCACCCACTCAGAAATTCTGAGAACCCTCCCAGGGCTGGTAGTTCTGCTGGTTTGGGCTCCCCCCCCTCGCGCGTTCATCAACAAGGAACAGCAAGCAGCAAGGAGCAGAACTGTAAAAGTGGAAACTGGAAGCTGCAACTGGTACAGGGAGCAGCACACTCCCGACCTACAGCCTGGTGGCCCCGCAAGGGAGCCGGCGGATACACACACATATATATATATATATATATGAATGTGTATATATATATATATATATATATATGAAAGAGCGTGTTCTACCGCTGCTGGCGGAAAACCGGGGGGGGGTCACTGCCGGTTCGAACCCCTCCCCCCCCTCTCCGGAAAACCGGGGGGGGTCACTACCGGTTCGAACCCCTCCCCCCCCCCTCAGTTCATCATGAAAGGGGGGGGGGGGGTCACTACCGGTTCGAACCCCCCTCCACCCCCCCTCTCGAAAACCGGGGGGGGTTACTACCGGTTCGAACCCCCACCCCCCTTCGAAAACCGAGTGGGGGTGCGGACAGTGTTGGGGACGGTGGTGGTGGGGACAGTGGTGAGGGAACAGCGGGACAGTGGTGGGGACAGTGGGACAGTGGGATAGTGGTGGGGACGGTAGTGGTGGGGACAGTGGTGGGGACAATGGTGGGAACAGTGGGGACAGTGGACAGTGGTGGGGACGGTGGTGGTGGGGACAGTGGTGTGGGGACAGTGGGAATGAGGTGGAAACAGTGGGACAGTGGAGGGTACAATGGTGGTGGGGACAGTGGTGAAGGCGGTGGCGAGGACGGCGGTGGGACAATGGGACAGAGGTACAGCGGGGACAGTGGTGGGGACAGTGGGGACAGTGGTGGTGGGAACAGTGGGACAGCTCAGTGGGACAGCGGAGGAGTCAGTGGGACAGTGGGGACAGTGGGGATAGTCGGGCAGTGGTTGGGGCCGTGGGAGACAGTGGGGAGAGTGGAACCGTGGTGGGAACAGTGGTGGGGACAGTGGGGACAGTGCGACAGTGGTGGGGGCACTGGTGGGGACAGTAGGGACGGTGGTGGAACCAGTGGGGACAGTGGTGGTGAGGACAGTGGTGCTGGGAACAACAGTGGGAGATGTGATGCGGACGGTGGTATGGACCAGGAGTCGTTTGCTGTCTCTCTCACTTATATATATACACATACATGCATGCATGCATACATACATACATACCTACATACATGCATACATACATACATACATACATGCATGCATACATACATACATACATACATACACACACATACATACATACATACATACATACATACATCCATACATACTCACATACATACATACATACATACATACATGCATGCATGCATGCATGCATGCATGCAAACAAACAAACACATGCATGCATGCATGCATACACACATACATTTATACAGGCACACATACATCCATACACACATACATACATAAGTACACGCGTACGTACATCCATATATACATACACACATACATACATACAGGCATACATACATACATACATACACACATACATACATTCATCTATGCATGCATGCATACATGCATGCATGCATGCACGCATACATCTATCCATCCATCCATACATACATACATACATACATACATACAGACACACGTACGCGCGTACATACATACATACATACATACATACATACATACATACATACATACATACATGCATGCATGCATGCATGCATACATGCATACATACATACATACATACATACATACATACATACATACAGACACACATACATACACACATACATACACGTATGCATGCATGCATGCATGCATATATACATACATACATGCGTCCATCCATCCATCCATCCATCCATCCATCCATCCATCCATCCATACATACATACATACATACATACATACATACATACATACATACATACATACACACATACATACATATGTATAGATATTGCCCTTCCCTTCGCATTCCTTGTTTCCCGACGCCTCCCCTCCTTCCCTACCTGTCTACGGCCCCGTCATCTGCGTCCCTACCCAGATCCTTTTCCTTCCCGCATCCCTTCTCCTCCCCTCTCCAATTGCATTCTCTCCCGTCCTCTCTCTCCATTCCTCTTCTTCGTTCCTTGCCCCCATTTCTCCCTCCCCGTCTTGCCCCCTTTGTTCCTTCCTCGCCCACCTTCCGTCATTCCCTGCGCCCTTCATTCCTCCCCGTCCCTTTTGGACATCCCTGCCCCCCTCCCTCCCCCTCCTTCCTTGCCCTCCTTTCTCCTCCCACCCCCTCCCCTCAACCCACACCCGTTTCTCCTCCAGCCGTTGTTGGACAGGTGGGGCCTCTGCGTTTCATCCCCCCCGCCGTCTTGACATCCGTGGTGCTCAGGCCGCGGCGGATCCCGAGCCCTCGCGGGGGCCGCGGAGACGCAGGATGCGGAGCAGGAGGACCGGGTAGAGGGGGAGACGGAGGAGGAGATGGGATGAGATTCGGCGACTACAAAGGGTGTGGTTACGCCGGGGTGTGGCTTGCGATCGGCACCGTCGGGGCCTGAGGGGCGCGACACTGTCCTCGTTGGGCCTCCTCGGGGCGCGGCGGAGAGCTTTGTCGAGGTCCTCGCCCGCCCCCCAGGGTGCCCCTCAGGGTGCCGGTTGCAAACGACACCCTTTGCAAGCCACACCCTTCGGTGTCGCCGAGAGATGAGATGAGCGAGCGGCTTGAAGCCATGTGCCGTGGTCACGGAAGCCATCTGGGGCTTCGGATGGGGCCGATGTCTCGCCAAACCCGTTGCGGAGGAGTAGGGGTGGAGGGTAATTTGGCAGAACGCGGGGGGGGCACGTGCAGAAAGAGCAGGAGTTGCGTGACGCGATGCGGCTGGGAGGAGGAGGGCGCACTGAGGCTGGCGGCTTCATCCCGAGGGTGATCGAGTTTCGGAAGTCGTTGGGGTTCGAAGCCATGACGATCGACGGACGTGCTGCTGTTGCTGTTGCCGACCCTGCCGCTGTTGCTGCCGCTGCCCTCTGCCGCGGCATGCTGCTGGTGTCCGTGCCGCCCCGCGTCTGGATTCCCGTCCGAGTCCGTATGCCGCCCTGAGCGAGCCCCAGCTGCGAACCCAGTGGGCGCGCTCGCATGCGGGCGCCGCGTGCGCTTGCCTTGCTTCGCACACGTCTGGTTCTCCACGGGGAGCCCCGTCTACGGTCGGCTCGTTCGCATGCGGGCGCCGTGTCCGTTCAGTCAGGCCCCTTGCAAGTTTCGTACCCAACCTGGCGCGCTGGCTGCGGCTCCAATGGACGCGTTCGCATGAGGGCACCTCGTCCGTTTGGGTTTTTTTTTCGTCGGCGGCGAGGCAGAGTTGGCTGCACCAGCGATAAACGGGGGAACCGAGAAGCGAATTGACCAGCGTGAAGAGCGGAAAAGAAAGCAGAGGGGGCGGCCGCGGAGGGGGGGGAAAGAAAGGCCACTCAGAGGTGGAAGAGTTCTCACCTGAGTGTGCTGGCGCGGCCAACCCCGTCAGCGGGATCCATGGCAGCTGCCGGGCCGCGGCGCCAGGGCACCCACGGGCGATAGCGGGGCCCAGCACGTGTAAAGCAAGGAGATGTTGCAGTGACGCTGCCGATGACGTAGGCGAAGAACTCGGATGACAGAAGGAGGGCTGCAGGGCCGCCCAGGTGGGTGGTTCGCTGCAGGGTACGGCAAGTTCGCAAGCAGTCCATGTCTGGGCCGGAGCCAGAAGAATGCTGGGCCCGTGGAGGGCAAGCGGGCGGCAAGACCAGGCCCAGGTGCCCAACCACACGGGGAGGCTGCAAGCTGCGGCAGCCTCGTGCGCCGCGAGCCATGGCGGCGCGCGGAGGGAGGAGGGGAAAGGCGAAGGGCGGAAGGGGGGGAAGGGAACAGGGAGGAGGCGCGCCCCGCCCGCGGGGAGACCCCAGCGGGCGGGGCGACGGGGCCAGGGTGCCCAGCGCCAGCGCTGCAGCTGCCGGCGGGTGGCCCTGGCTGCGGTTGTGGAGGCCGCGCGCTGTCGGGGTGGACAGCGCATGGCTGGTCTAGGGGCACCTCATTGGTGCAGTTACTTGCGTCAAAATTGTGGCCGAAGGCTGTCGGGGGCCACGCGCTGTCGGGGGGGACAGTGCATGGCCTGTCTAGTGGCACCGTGATGGCAAATCTTAGGTTCTCACTTCCATCGTTCCGTGCCTGCCTCCATCGTTCCATGCCCTCACATGTTTCGTGTCCTTCCAAGGGCCCTCAGCACTGGCCACTGATGGCGCAATCGTAGGGGGGCGTTACGTTCGATTAGATACACCACTCACACGTTTCACCCCCCCGCCCCACCCTTCCTTGGAGCCCAATCTCTTCCTCCTGTCGGCGCGGGTCCTGAAGTAATCCTAAAGCCTTAATTATGGAACTTAGAGAAAACAGTTTCCTGGGACTGTGTTCAATAATCGAAACTTTTAATACAGTCGCCAGGGACTGTTTAAACCACATTCGAAACAGCTGTGTAGAGAAGAGCAGAAGGGCAAAGAACACGACGACGACTGGACGCCACAAGATGCCACTGGAGGCGTTCCGCCGTGAGAAGCGGAGGAAGAGGAGGAAGAGGAGGGAGGATGACGCTGACGAAGGTATGGTGGAGGAGGGAGAGAAGGTGGAGATGGGAGGGGCAGAGATGAGGAGGGCGCCGAATACTTCAAGTGGGAGGAGGAGGACGAGGAGGAGAAGCAGGAGGTGGAGGGAGACGAATGGAGGAGGACAAATACGTCGGACGAGGAGGAGGAGGAGGGGAATGAGAGGACAGAGGAGGACAACTTGTTGGAAGAAGGAGGGGAACGACGACGATCCTTAAGCAATTCGTGTGGAGGTGGCGGAGGATGATGACGAATAATGAGGAGGAGGGCGACGACGAAGAGGAGGAGGACAGGGAGTAGGAGGAGGAGGAGGAGGAGGAGAACAGGATGACGAAGAGAAAGTAGGATGAGGACAACCGGCAAAAGACAGGGAAAGAGGAGGAGAAGGATGGGGAGCAGGGGGAGGAGCAGCAGGAGGAGCAGGACGAGGAGAAAGAGGAGGAGGATGAGGAGTAGGAGGAGGATGAGGAGCAGGAGCAGGAGCAGGAGCAGGAGGAGGAAAGGAGGAGGAGGAGGAGGAATAGGAAAAGGAGGAGAAGGAGGAGGAGGAGGAGGGAGCGATATCCTCCCTCGTTTTTTTTTTTTTTTTTTGTTCTCTCTCTCTCGCTCTCTCTTTCTTTCTTTCTCCCTCTTTCTCCACCCTGGCGGTCCTTCACCTCGCCGTCACAGCTGAGAGGCCCGTTGCACATTTTTGGTGACAACCAAGCCGTCGTCGACGGGTTCGGAGCTCTCCTAGAAGGTAATCTCCCGCAAGCCAAGGATTCCCAGGCCGACCTCCGGCAAAGGATCCATGGGGAGGCCCAAGCCGGACCCGTCACGTTCAAGGTTCGAGATTGGCGAGCCCCACCCCGGTGAGCAAGGGGTTGACGAAGGCCGTGGCATGCCAGCCGCCGAGCTCGTTCAGCCGTCTCGCCGACGAGCTGGCAGCGCCGGGGACCTGCCTGCGCTCCACACCGCAGGATGTCCTCGGCGCGGCCAAGCGGCGACACGAGAACTCGCGGCTGTCCTCCACAGCTCCGCGGTCGTCGCAATACGTATATATAAGTATAAATATATATACAGTTTTCTATATTCCTATATCTACATATATCTGTGTATATGTGTACATTTATTTATTTTTATATATATATATATGTGTGTATGACCGTCGCCGCCCCATGCCCCGCTGCCCGACAGACGAGCTGGATATTCCTCCTGCCTCCCTCCTCCCGCCTCCCTCCTCCCGCCTCCCTCCTCGAGCCGGAACTCCACCAGACACAATTAGCCTGGCGAAGGACCCAACCATATGCAGCTGCGAATACCGCGAGGGAAATGAGACGAAGGAGGGGGGCACGCAAACTACAAGTGGCGCGAGGCATGGCCCCTGTTGTCATGGGCACTGCGCCACAGCACGGACGAGGCGCAAGACAGCGCGGGCAGGAGGTGGCTGGAGAAGGAGGAGAGCTCACTGGGCGATCCAACACATCAGTATCATCATCGCATCGTCAGACCTGTTACTGGGCACGCAGGAAGATGTTACGGAGAAGCCGCGAAAATGTCAGGGGCAGGCCAGCAACGGCAGAGACGAGACCGGGGGGCCCGCGGTCAAGAAGCAAAAGGAAGCAAGAGGAGCGAGAGACGAGGGGTGACATGTTTGCCTCCGGGCCGATAGCGAGCCACGCAGAGTGCACTGCGCAGGCGGCGCCGCTCGAAAGTGGCTGGGGAGTCCCCACCGACGCGGTCTGGTCATCCCGAGGGAATCCCATCGACGCGCGGGGGTCGTCGACTGCGACTCAATGTAAACGGATAGCTCCCCCGTGCTGCGCGGCGAGGCTATGCGAAAACGGCGCGATCTGGGTGAAATCCCCCGACAGGCGCCGGTCATCCTCTGGCGATGAGCAGTGTGCGACAGGCGCGAGTCGCCTTCCGAAGAGCACAACAGTGACGACAGCTACGAGAACTGAATATTCGTTCGCTTTCGAACATGAAGCTGCGGGCCCCACAGGCGCCCCGCATGCGGGCGCAGCGCCTGGGGCCTTCGATGGAGCCCCCTATGGGACCACAAAACGTTCCTGGGTGGGGCCTTCGGTGGAGCCCTCTATGGGGCCTTCGGTGGAGCTCCCTATGGGGCCTCGAAGCGCTGCCCTGGGTGGGGGAACCGCATGCGGGCTGTGCCACTGGGACCTTCGGTGGAGCCCCCTATGGGGCTACGAAACGCTGCCCTGGGTGGGGGAACCGCATGCGGGCTGTGCCACTGTGACCTTCGGTGGAGCTCCCTATGGGACCACGAAACGCTGCCCTTGGTGGGGGAACCGCATGCGGGCTGTGCCACTGGGACCTTCGGTGGAGCTCCCTATGGGGCTACGAAACGCTGCCCAGGGTGGGGGAGCCGCATGCGGGCTGTGCCATTGGGACCTTCGGTGGAGCTCCCTATGGGGCTACGAAGCGTTGCCCTGGGTGGGGGAACCGCATGCGGGCTGTGCCATTGGGACCTTCGGTGGAGCTCCCTATGGGGCTACGAAACGTGTGAGGGGTGTGCCGAGAGCAGAGGCAAGGAGGGGGAGGAGGGAGGAGGGCGAGGAGGGGGAGGAGGAGGAGAGGAGGTGGGACGCGGGGCGCTGTCTCTTCAAAACGAGGACCCAACACCACATAATGGTTGGGGAAAAAAACGCCAACCGCTCGTTTGGCGGGGGCCCCGAGGGGGACGAGCCTCTGGGCCCTTGATGGGTGAACCGCCCCGCCCCCAACACCCGCCAGTGCCATGGTACTACGACTACATCGGGCACGTCCCTCGGCAGGATGGATTTTCCAACACATGGAACAATTCTCAGGGGACGATTTTCGTGATTATTTGTTTGACTATTCTTGGGCATTGTTTTGAGCAGTGCTTGTTCTTCTTCCAAGATCCGCCTGTAGGAGGACCTGCCCGACCTGATACTACGATGAACTGGACGATTCATAGGGCATCCCACCCGACAGTCCCAGTGGCGACGAGGAGGGCCCACTCGGCCCAGGGGGGGGGCCCTTTGACAACGACGAGGAGGACGACACCCCCCACAAAACTCGAGTTTCACGACAGAGCCGGGGTCACGAGGCGGACGACAACGCCCCACCTCCACGTACAATCGCGCACGCAACTGCGGTGAATCAGGAGGTGAAGGTCCACCAGGATCCTACCCCAAGAACCCCGCTGCAGCTCGCGCAGGACAACATACAGTCGGGGCCCTGAAGAAGGAACCCTTTTCGTTGGGGAGGGGCTCCGTGTTCCTTGATTGTTTCACAGCTCGCCTAAAGTTATCCTTACATTTCGATGGGAAGTCGAAGTTTAGTGTATGGGAAAAATGGGGCCTCGTTCCTTTCTTGGGGTTCCTTAGGTCAACGCCCCGACTGTCGTGGCGGACCACGCGGGCGGCAGCCCGGCTCCTGCCAGCTCCCCCGACACAGCCCGGCACACCCCGTGGCATGACCGCGGCAGCAGCGCCACCCGCCTGGGAGAGGAGCTGCGCCCGGCAGGCGCGGGGTCGCGGACGGCGCCCCGAGGGCCACAGCTCCGCCGCCTCGAGGCGCTGGGCTGGCCAGTGCCGTCGGGCACACCCAGACCCCCCACTCGGGTCTAGGCCTCCTCCTCCTCCTCCTCCTCCTCCTCCTCCTCCTCTTCCTCCTCCTCCTCCTCCAGATGGGGTCGGAGTAGATGGGGTCGGAGCAATTCTTCCTGCCGGCTGGCGAGTCCCCCGCCCCACCAGGGACCGGGGACCAGCTCTGGCACCACCGACCAGGGCGTAGGCGCCCGAGCGGTGCCGGAGCCACGTGCTGGTCGGAGGGGTGCCTTCACGCAGCGGCTCACGACGGCCAGGCCGCAGCCTCACGAGGATCGTGAAGCCGCACTTGCCGCAGGCATCATGGCGCTGCAGCAGCGAGCCTCGTGTCTCGCTCTCACGTTGCGAAGCACGGGGGAACAGTCCAGGTCCCTTCTCGACAGCTTCGGAAGAACGAACGCCCGCCTGAAACGAAGGTCCCACAGGCCTCCCGCCCGCCCGCTGCCCCTGGGGCCTCTCTCCAGGAAGAGCTCCAGGGGCACGGCTTGCTGCTCACCGCCAGCGCATCGGCGCTGGCCTCCAGCATCACGTCTTCCGTGCCGCGCGCGAATCGCCTGGCAGCATGTCCCGCAGGCCTGGCGGCGCCGTCTCGTCTCGGTCGCAGGCCTAGAGGTTGACACCAACACCAATATCGACGGTGTTCCTCCAGCGAGGGGAGAGAGATCCCGATCTCGGTGATGGTGGTAACATTCTGGCCTCCAGGGTGGCCGAAACATTACCACCAACACCGAGATCTAGGATCACCTCCCCCATGTGGAGGCATGCCCCTGTCTTGGTGTTGGTGCCGATTTCCAGGCCTCCAACTCAGGAGGGGAAGAAACACACAGACACAATTAATCGTCGATCCCCAGGAAAATCTGGGAAAATATTGAAAGTGGGGGGGGGAGACAAAAACCCAGAAAATATGAGAAAATATAGGGAATCTTTTTATTTGTGTGTATTTATGTGTTTGTGGGCACCTTCAAACTCGGGGCCCCGTGGCGCAAGCGCGTGCCACGGCGCGTCTGCGGAGCTGGCGCCCCTCCTTTGCACCGGGGGGTGCCGGCGGGGCGAGCCTCGCGCTCCCGGTCGCCACGTCCGCTGCTGCAGCGCCGTCGGGGGCTCCTCCTCGACCGCGCTGGGGGTCAGGAGCGAAAGAAGGAGTTCGAGAGTTCGAGAGGAGGAGGAGGAACAGGAGGAGGAGGAGGAGGAACAGGAGGAGGAGGAGGAGGAGGAGGAGGAGGAGGAGGAGGAGGACGAGGAGGAGCAGGGAGGCCAGAGGTTTGGGGGGGGGGTGCGATGAATCCACGCTGGTTTCGAGAGTTCGCATTGCGCGAATATTCGTGTCGCGCGGCAGGTCTCGCGGGTCTAAGGGGCCGTGTTCATGTACACGGCTGGGCGCGTGCGTCTTTTGTGGGCTCCTTAGGGGGGGGGAGGGCGCTTTTTGCTGCCGCCGCCCCCGCCGTGCCTGCGCGGAGCTTCCCGCCGAGAGAGTGGTGGGAGCGCAGCGGGCGCCAGCAGCCCGCGGCCTTTGGGCGGACCTCGGCCCGCCCGCATCGGCGCGCCCCGTCTCGCGCTGGGGAGCGTCTGCTTCCACGCCCGCCGTACCCCGAGGTGGGCACCACCGCTAAGCGTGCACTGCTGGCCTTAGCTGCCGCAGTGCAGTAGCCGGCTGTCGACGGGGTTCCCGTTAGTTTGTGCGATTTCTCTCTCTCTCTCTCTCTCTCTCTATCTTTCTCTTTTTTTGTTATTTATGTCCTTTTTTTTGTTCTCTCTCTCTCTCTCTCCTTCGCTCTCTTTCCCCCCCTCATTTCCCGTCCTCGACGCTCGGCTTTGCTCGCCTTTCCTGTCGCATTTTTTTGTCGGCCGCTCTTGTCTTTATGTTATTTCCGCCTTTTTTGGTGACATCTTGTTAAGATGGATCATGGATTTCCTCTCCAGGCACCCATCCTGGCAATCGTTTTGCCAGGATAGAAGTGTGGCCGTCCCGTACAGTATAAATTCGCTTTCCAGAAGCAGCGAACGGCGGGAGGTCTCGGACCCCAATCCTCGAAACGCTCCCCCCCCAGGACAGCTCCTCGTGCCCCTCCGCATCGCCGGCGACACACAACCGATGTGGATTTGCTGGCCGACCTTGCAAAATCAATGGTGCCCTTGTGTCTTCCGCCCGCGCCCATGCCTCCTACACCCCTGTGGCGACGTGGCCCTCAGGAGGTTCTTGTGTCGCGTGTCCTCTCCAATGAAATTCGTTTGTATCCAGGCCGCCTCACGAGGGCTGGTGTAGAGTGGGTCGGAGGATGGCGCCGCATCACTGCTGCATCGGCGATGTAACTCCAATTGGCGCCACGCTTCTTCCGCCCCTTCAGCCTTGGGACGCCTCTGGGGTGGGGAGGGGGTGTCAAGCATGATAGCTCCTCGTTCCAAACCGTTCCGGACCGGAACGGTTTGGAACGGCCGCGGCGCCCGATGCGCATTAAAAAATTGTTGGATTTCAGATATTCGGAACATTTCAAATCGATTCGATATCGATTCAGACGGGCCTTTCCTGATCTGATCCGAAACTGACACTTCGACGATCCGTTGTTTTTGCGGTGTTGGATAGTTTTCCGATCGGCGGCCCGATAAGTACCTGGTTGTTACATGGTGTTGGTGTGCATTTTGGTTGCCAGCTCGATTCGTTTCCGGTTCCGTGCAGATGCGGCCTGATCCGACGCGCATTCCGATGCGGTCCGATTTCACGATTCGATGCAGGTTGCTCCTGTCCTCCCACTTTTCCGCCTTCCCACCTCACGGCCTCCCCGTGGCGCTCTCGACGATTCAAGGCTGCTCAAAGGCATCCCAAACCGCCCCCCTCCTCCGCCCTGTCCCGCCCTCCCCCCCCCGCCCCCCATCGTCGCCAGAAAAGGACAAATGTACAGATCCACCTCGTTCCTCCCCCTCCGCACTCCCAGAGTCTAGGCCTCCTAGATGAGGTCGGAGTAGATGGGATCGGAGGATCGCGCCGCATCGCCGATGCATCGACGATGCATCGGCGATGCGGCTCGATGTAGGGCGCAATTTTCTCCGCGCCGACGTCGTGGATGTACCGCCGACGTCGCCAGCGGATGGCTGATGCATCGGCGATGCATCGGCCATGCATCGGCGATGCATCGGCGATGTATCGGCGATGCGTCGCGATCCTCCGTCCCCATCTACTCGGACCCCATCTAGAAGGCCTTTACAGAGGGAAACCTGAAGTCCCGCTGGCCCAAGGTGCCTCAGGATTTCCAAGGAGGCTCCCACGGCCTCCAGAGCACCCCTCGTGAAGTCCAGAGGGCCCCTGGAGCTCCAAAATTGAGCGAAAAGCTGCGGGTACCTTGGGCCAGGGGCATCTGTCGCAAACCCCGAAGGAGGGAGAAGGAAAGAGGCGGATTTCCCATCCAGGACAGGGTCTTCTGCCCTTTCGCGTCATGGACGACATCGAGGTCCGCCCGGGGACGGCGGAACGGGCCATCTGGAGGTCTGCTGAAGTTTTCGTGGGTTTCTTGGGAGCGTCTCGGGCTTCTGTGAATTTCTGAGGCCGTTTACTGGGCGTGGAGGGGGAGGGCGCGGAAGGATGAAGAGGATGAAGGGGACGGGGTGGAGGGCGCAGAAGGGGGGGGGTGGAGGTGGAGGCAGGGCGGAGGGGAGGGGTGGAGGGGGTGGAGGCGGTGGAGAGGGCGGAGGGGAAGGGGTGGAGGGGACGGATGAAGAGGAGGGGGCGCAGAAGAAATGAAGGAGAAGGGATAGCAACCCAGATCTTTTTGAACGTCTTTGCTGAGCCGTATTAATACATCGGAACCGTTTGACGATGTTCGGTTTCATGCCCGAGTGTCATGTATTGTTTCGATGCTCTGATGTCTGCCGTTGCACATGTCTATCCACTCGTTCCGCTGTCGGATTAGTACTTCCTCTTATCGACTACCAGTCCTCGTTCGTTTTCAGCATCTGATTGGAGAGCTTGTTTGGCGATGGGGTCAGAGCCCTTCCAACAGCAGATGTCCTCATCGCGGCAGTCGTTTTTCTTCCAGACTGCATGTACCGTTCAAGAACGACCGATCTCTCTCCCCCTCTCTATTGCCGCATCTCCGCTGCATCGGCTGTACGGCGAGATCCAGATCCCCCGCCGATGCATCGCCGATGCATCGGCGATGTGGTGCGATCCTCCGACCCCATGTGCTCATTCTCGATGTGGTTTACCTCCTATGTGTTTCTATGTGCAGCGTGGGCCCAAAGCAGTAGGTTGTTCCATTGTGGATGTGTAAGCTAGGGGGTGTAAGGCATGTGGTGTAATCTATGCGGTTCCATCCATATGGTGCAGCCATCTGTAGTAAGCAATGTGGTGCAAGCTGTGTGGTGGAACCTTCTACTGTAAGTAACTTAGTGAGTACTCAACTCCATCTGCTCGCGGAAGCATCCCACCCTCTCATTAGGATGTTATTGTGCAAACGCCATTTGCATTCTATTTCGGTTGCGCATGGCGCCTGCTGCCGCATCTCTGCAGCCGCGCTCAATCTTGCGCGCAGGGCGACAAGCTGGTTTGGCACAATTGATGCGGCTGCGATGGCGCTTGCCGATAGGAGCTTCCCTGCGCGTCTCAGAGGCAACGCGTCTAAGAGGCCGCGCTGGCGCGCGGGCACTTCAGTGCGGGTCGGTTCAGGCGGGCGCGGTGTCATGATGACGTCGACAACGGCGGCAACGGTTCTGGTAGTGGTGATGGTGGTAGCGGTGATGCAATGATGGCGACAAGGCCAATGACGGCGCCGATGTTGCTGACGACGTCGATGATGATTTATACGTGTCGGTGATGAAGGTGATTGGCCGATGATGGCGGCATTAGCGGCGATGGTCGAGGACGATGACAGTGGTGATGCGGTGGCGCTGGTAAAGGTGATGACAAGGAAGTTCGCGCGCGAAAGAAATGAAGCGAGGCAAACTTTCAATGTTCTTTGATGTTTTTACCATGAGCTGCTTGCAGAGCGAAGGTGCTTGTATGATGTTGGCATGTGCGCGCGCTTTAGGTATGTGCGCCATGCTTTGCAAATGAAGTGCCCTCCGGTCGTTGAAAGAAGGTATTTCTGGAGTCCCAGATTCCAGTCTATTTTTAGCGCCTTCCTACTTCAATGGTCTAGGTGGCTTCACCGTGTCCGTCCTCTTTAGGGGAACGGGCGGACACCCAATCTATTTTCGACGCCTTCCTACTCCATATTTCTACCTACTTATTCCGAAGGATGGGTATGCAAACATGCTGTTTTAGATAGTTGAGCATGCGCGCATTTTTTAACGGGGTGATGGGGGAGGGGGGGAGCGATGCCCGGCCGTCAGGGGATGGTATGCGTGCATATTGGTAATGACGCAGTTTGGAATGATCGTATGTAGATTATGTGATATTTCCAGGGTGTATCGATAACCCATGGCGGACTGGTGGTGGAGTCGATGTTCCATAGGTAAGAAGAGTTCATCACATCGTGCAATTTGCGTGGTGCACACTTTGCGTTACAAGCTATGTTGTGCCAGCCAGGTGGTGTAATTTTTTGGGACAACCTACGTGGTGCAGGATTTGTGGTGTGCGCTATGTGGTGCAAGCCATGTGGTGCAACCTGCAATCTACGTGGTGCAAGCTGTGTGGTGCAAGATTTGTGGTGTAAGCTATGTTGTACACGCTCGGTTGTGCAACATGCGTGGCGCAGTTGACCGAGCGGCAACTGCAGTTGTCAGTATGGCTGCTCGTGCAGCCGTCCCACCCTCCCGCTCGCACCTCGTCTGGCGAGGCCCACTCGGCCACGTCTGGTGGTTCCCGGTTGGAACATGCTGGCGCATCTCTACTGCCTCGGGGGCCTCCAAACGGGGTGGTGACCGCACCGTGTGGTGAGTCGGTGGGGATTCGGGGTCTCCGCACGGTTTTGGGACTCGGGCCGCGCTTGGAGGACGTCTCGGGCGACCGGGGCCTCCAGGGTCCCAAAACCGTGTGGTGACGGACCCTGCGGTGAGGTCTTTGAGGTCACCGCCGGGTCTGTTACCACACGGTGATGGGACCCCCAACTGCCGCGCTGGCCCACGCACGCTCGCGCGCACAGTGACAGGCTCGCTTGGCACAGCGGCTGCGGCCGCGGTGGCGCTCCTCGCTGGGAGCTTCCCAGGGCGCCTCGGCCGGGCCGTGCCGGTGTGCGGGGGCACCTCGGTGTGGGTCTGCGGCCCCGGCGGGCGCGACAGCACGAGGTTTGGCTTGGCGGCAGCGGCGAGAGCGGCGAAAACGATGATGTTGATGATGGTGCAGATGATGAAGGTGATGATGGCAATGATGACGATGATGATGATGATGATGATGATGATGATGATGATGATGATGATGATGATGATGATGATGATGATGATGATGATGATGATGATGATGATCATGATGATGATCATGATGATGATCATCATGATGATGATCATGATGATGATGATGATGATGATGATGATGATGGTTCTGAAGATGAAGGCGATGTTGATGCCGATGGTGGTGCTGATGATGACGATGATGATGATGGTCAGTATAATCATTTATCATGTTAATGATGGTAATGGTGGTGGCGGTGATGATGACCATGGTAACAGTTGTGGCGGCGATGCTAACTATGACGACGGCAGGGCGGTATGTCGGCAATGACGTAGATTAGCGATGATTTTAACGGCGGTGGTGCGATGGCGGTGATGCGGGTGCGCTCGCGTTGAAATTCAAGAACTTTGGCGAATGCTTGCTCGAACAACTGTTGGTCCGCCGTACGTGTCTGAAGAATTGTGCCTCGAACTGATTCGGAACCACTTGCGTGAGTTTGATGCGTGCTCGCGCGGGTGGACTTTGTTGTGTTCTTTCCAATGTATGTTGTGACACGTTCTTTTTAAGCTCAGCAGGTGTTTGCGCATGGTGTTGTTCGACAGGCGTGACGGTGGGTGCCGATACCAGCTGGGCTGAGATGGTACGACCGCGATCAGACAGTGAAGAATTGCTCCAACATCACATGGACGTTGCAGTTCCCCCGGGTGCGGTTGCGTCTCGGTTCGGGAGGGTAGCCGATTCTCTTCGGGCCCGAGAGCAGCAGGGGCACGCGCGGTGCAGGCTAGGCTCCGTGGTGCAGCCCACGTGGTGCAGGCCACGCTGTGCTGGCCGTGTGGTGGCGAGCCCTGTGGCGCAGGCTGCTGCGTGCAAGCCCTCGGGGCGCCGACGGGGCGCCCACGGGCGAGCACCCGCCGAAGCTTCGGCGACACCCCTTACCAGCCTCGAACGTACCCCATATCCCTAAGGTTGACGCGCCAAGAGGCGATGACAGTCTCGGGGATCCGCCCTCAAAAGATAAAAGGGCATCCCTCAGATTGGCAGCGTGATGAGGAGGTGCCCAGCATAGGGGTAGGGATATGTTCCAGCCTGGTAAACCCCATCCAGCGCGGGGCGCCCACGAGGCGCCCCCCCACGAGGCGCCCACGGGCGGGCACCGCGCGACGCCTCGGCACGTTCCCCATCTGCGCGGGGCGCCCACGAGGCGCCCACGGCGGAGCACAGGCCGAGCACCCGGAGCATACCCAGCCAGCGGAACAACGAGAGAGAGCCGGGGGTGGACAGAACCCCCAACAGTGACACGTCGATTAGTGCATTGTCCGTTTTCGGTTTTCGAGAGGGCGCCGTGGCCGTTATTTTCCAGGCTTGCGCCCGCCAGGTCTGGGCCTCAGGTCGTTTTCACTAAAGCACGTTTTGCTAAAGGGGGGGTCTGTCCATTTCCGAGAGAGAGCGAGAGGTGCAAGGCCAGAGTGCCAGCACTGCTTGGTGAACCTCTCTCTCTCTCTCTCGCTCCAGCCCCATCTCCCGGAGCATCACGCACGCGTCGCAGGTGCCGACCTACTCGCCCTACCGCAGTAGGCTACAGGCGAACCAGCCCTCGATCTACGCGTTCAGCGAGACTCTGGCGGACACGGCCTCGGCGCTGAACCTTTGATGCTTGTGGCATGCGGTTTGGTTGCTGTGCAGAGCGTTCCAGAATGAGCCTCGCCTTCGCGCATCCTCCCTCTCGGCGGAAGGCGGCGGAAAGCCAGTGAACGCCTCCAGAACTGCATCGGCAGCGGGTCGGCTGGCGGAAGGTCGGCGGAAGGCGGTGGACGTAGATATGATACCGCCAACGTGTTGGCAGGACGCTGGGTGGACGGATGAAGTGTTGTCACCGCCATTTCCGGATTTGGTTCGGCAGCGTTGGCCGTGACGTGCCATTACCCATGGCTCAGTCGAAAGAGCGCGTTCTGTGGGCGCCTGGATAGGGGGGGGTGTCCGGACCCCGGCCGCCGGACCCCCCCCCCCGGGGGCCTGCACTGGCGTGGGCCTGGGCCTGGCGTGGGCGCGGTTGTGCTTGTGTTTGTGGGCGTGGGCGTGGGCGTGGGAGTGGGCGTTTGCGTGGTCGCGGGCCTGGGTGCGGGCGTGGTCGTGGGCGTGGGCGTGCGCGTGGGCGTGTGCGTCGGCGTGGGCGCGGGTGTTGGCGTGGGCGTGCGTTTGAGCGTTGGCAGCGTTGGCGTGGGCGTGCGGGCGCGGGCGTGTGCGTGGGCGTGGGCGTGGGCGCGTGTGCGTGGGCGTGGGCGTGGGCGTTGGTGTGGGCGTGGGTGCGGGCGTCGGCGCTGCCAGCCGCCGCCGCCGCCGCCGTCGCTGGCGCGCCGGGGCCGGCGCCAGGGGTGGGGGGCGTGTTCGAATCCCACCCCCCTTGCGGGGGGGGGGAGGGGGGGGTTCGAACTCCCCCACCCTGGAGGGAGGGGGGGTGTCGGGGAGGGGGGGTATGGTAGGTTTGCGTCGTGTCGACCGGCGGCGACCCCAGCGCGGGCGTTCAAGGTTGAACGCCGCCGGCGACCCAGAATCGGTCGATGTTGAACGATCGGACGTTGCGGAGACGGCCGATCGTTCAAGGTTGAACGATCCAGCGCGGTGTCAGGAACCAACGCCAGGGTCGACACGGCACGAACCTGCAGTATGGGGGATGGGAGTCCACCCGGTCCTGTTCGACGGCGCCGAACGATGAGGGGGGGGGCGCCGTCGAGTGTTCCCGAGGCAAGCGCCCGGGAAACGCGCTCCCTCCTTGATTGGTGTACAGCACCGATTTGCGCTCGCCAACCCAGCCTCACGATTCCTCGTAACTTGTTTTGTGCCCAGAAGCGGGATGATAAGGACGATGATTAAGGAGGAGTTGTAGCAAGGAGGAGGTGGCCGACGAGGAGGGGAGGAGGAGATGAGGAGGAGTAAGAGAAAAGGGAGGATGAGGATGAGGATGGAGGCCGTTACGCGTGACGCAGATTGGCCTTTGGAGAAGGAAGAGGAGAAAGTGGAGGGAAGGAGTTATCATAGCACAGCGAATGAGGAGGAGGAGGAGGAAGAGGAAGGAGAACGATGAAGAGGGGGGCCCGTGCCGTTGCATGTGGCACGTTGTCGCCTCCAGACGGGATGATGATGATGATGATGATGATGATGATGATGATGATGATGATGATGATGATGATGATGATGTTGATGTTGATGTTGATGTTGGTGATGCTGGTGTTGATGAGGATGAAGATGAAGACGATGACGATGATGGTGATGACCATGATGCTGCTACTGATGATGATGATGACGACGACGACGATGCTGGCGATGTCGATGCCGATCACGATGATGATGCTGCTGCTGCTGATGATGATGATGCTGATGGCGACGGTGATGATGACAATGTTGGTTATGATGATGAAGATGATGATGATGAAGCTTAATTCGATGATGATGCTTTTGCTGATGATGATTTTGACGATGATGTTGATGACAATGCCGATGGCGATGATGCTGCTGATGACGCTGATGGTGATGATGATGCTGATGGTGATAGTGATGATGATACTTATGCCGATGATGCTAATTTTGATTATGGATGATGATGAATGTGGGGTGCTGGGTGACTGATCATTGCTCGTTGCTGGCTGATGACTGATGATGATGATGATGCTGCTGCCGATGGCGGCGATGCCAATGCCGATGACGATAGTGATGATGGTGATCATGGTGATACTGATGATGGTGGTGATGATGATGAAGATTATGCGGCTGCTGCTGATGACGATGATGATGACGAAGATGATGAGGATGATGATGATGATGATGGTGATGATGATGCTTGTGATGATGATGGAAAAGACGATGATGGTGATGATGATTATGATGCTGATGCTGCTGATGATGCTGATTATCATGATGATGAGTGTGATTATGATGGTGATGTTGATGATGATGGTGATGCTGATGCTGATGATGCTGATGCTGATGATGTTTTTCTGATGATAAGGGTGATGATGAGGATGGTCATGAAGTTGATGACGATGATGCTGATGATGCTGATGATGATAATGATGATCCGGATGAGGATGAGGATCAGGGTTATGATGTAGATAAGGATGACGATGATCATGATGGTGATGATGATGATGATGGTTGTGGTGGTGATGATGATGATGATGATGATGTTGATGCTGTTGCTGATGGTGATGATGATGGTGATGGTTATCATGATGGTGATGGTGATGGTGATGGCGATCATGATGATGGTGATGATGATAATGACGACGACGATCACGATCACGATGACGATGATGCTGATGATAATGATGGTGATGGTCATGGTCATGGTGATGGTGATCATGGTGATGCTGATGCTGATGCTGTTGCTGCTGATGCTGATGCTGATGCCGATACTGCTGCTGATGCTGCTGATGATGCTGATGCTGATGCTGATGCTGATGATGCTGCTGATGCTGATGCTGATGCTGATGCTGATGCTGCTGATGATGATGATGCTGATGATGATGATGATGATGATGATGATGATGGTGCTAATGATGGTGATGGTGATAGTTATGGTGGTGATGATGATGATTCTGACGATGCTGATGATGGCGATGATGATGATGATGATGATGATGATGATGATGATGATGATGATGATGATGATGATGATGATGATGACGATGATGATGATGAGCTTTGGTGTTATGCTTCATGGGTGGGCGATCCTCGCCAGGACCGCTGGCCAAATAGCCAGGACCCCGCCGCTCCTGGAGCGCGCTCCAGGGGCGACCGGCGCGCATCGAGGCCCAGCCCCGACACGCGGGAGGGGGGCCAGGCTGCAACCTTGGTCACCTCCGTGTACGCTGGAACGCTGCCGTCCCAGCAGGTGCAGCCGCAACGGCCTTCTTTCTTGTTGACGGCTTGTGCGGCAGCCGAGTGCCCAGGAAACAAGCTTTTCCCCAAGGCCTGGAGATTCTGCGCCCTTCGCTGTCGAGCTGGTGTCAACAGGGTCCTCGCAGGTCGCGGTGCTGGGAGGTGGCGACCGAGCCCCAACTCGCGCAGTTCCACAGGCGGTACGAGTCGCAGAAGAACAGAGCGTGAGAGGGATGCGACGTGAAATGTCCAAGCTCGACAGGCTCACAGCAACTGACGTCGCCTGGCCACGCGAGATGCTATTGCTCTGGCCCACGGCACGTCAACCCGCGCCAGACGAGGGCACGATGGTTGGGCTGCAGGCCGCACGTGGCGCCGAAGCAGGTGCACGCTCGGGCCGACA